AATTCTAAAAGTGCGCTATTCGATATTGCACAAGTCCAATTGTCGCCATATTTGACTTCAATTTGACATTTTGTCTGTGTCTCTTCAAAATAACGGTTTTAGACCTTAGGTCACTTTGGAGCAAATCCGTTTCAGGACATTTGGAGTCGATGTAGCGATGTCCGTCCGTCTGTCTATCTGGCTGGTTCGCACGGTAACCCTCGAAGGGAGTATCCGATTTGGTCCAAAATTGGTACATTATTACTTTTATTACCAAAACTTAGATCGAGTTCGGAGATGGACACTATCGATCCACCTCTACTGGTACAAAAGGGCGAAATTCTCCAAAAAAAATATCTCACTGCACAGAAAGAAAAAGGATAATTCAATTTTTCTCCAACCTTGTAAATCCTAGTATTTGCATCAGTGCCAGGTCAGGTGCGAAAATACACAATGACCGTCCACACAATCCATTATCTCTCCCCCAAAAGACAAATTTTGAATAATTATAACACTTATAAAATGTGATGTAAGAGCCTGATTGTCTTTAAATTACACACACATAACAGAAGGTCTGGGTCGAAGATGGAATTTATCGGTCCACTTCTTCTGGTACCTCTCTCACAAAGAGTCAAAATTTTGAATATTTATGAAGCTCATAAAACACGAAATTAACATCCGATTCCGTTCAGACTTGGCACATCTCAATATTTCCATCAACACAAGATCTGTTATCAGGATGGTAGAGATCGGACCATTCTTTCTGCTAGCCCCCCATATAGAGTCAACATTTTGAAAAACCAAAGGATCATAAAATCCGAAATAAGGATTAGGTTCTCTTCATGTTTCACACATCCCATTAATTCTACTAACACAGGATATGGGACATATCGATCCAGTCCTCCAGGTGCCTACCCCAATATAGGTCAAAATTAAGAATATCCTTGAAATTCATAAAACGTGAAACTAACATCCGATTCCATTCAGAATTGGTACATTTCAATATTTCCATCAACGAAAGTTCTGTTATAAAGATGGTAGAGATCAGATCATTCCTTTTGGTACCTCCCCCACAAAGGGTCAAACTTTTGAATAACCAAAACTATTATAAAATCCGAAATAAGCATTCGGTTCTCTTCTGTTTTACACATCCCATTAATTCTACTAAGCCAAGACCTGCGGTGAATATGGGATATATCGATCTACTCCTCCAGAGGCCTCCCCAACAATAGGTTAAAATTAAGAATATCCTTGAACTTCATAAAACGGGAAATTAACATACGATTCCATTCAGAATTGGTACATCTCAATATTTCCATTAACGAAATTTCTGTTATTAAGATGCCAGAGATTGGACCATGCCTTCTGGTACTTCCCACTCAAAGGGTCGAAGTTTTGAATAACCAAAACGATTATAAAATCCAAAATAAGCATTCGGCTCTCTTCACATTTCGCACATCCCATTATTTCTTCTAACACAAAATCTTCTGTGAAGATGGGATATATCGGCGCACTCCTTCTGGTACCTCCCCCACATAGGGTTTAAGAATTTGGAAAACAAAACGCTCAATGAAAGCGAATTAAGCATCCAACTCTCTTAGAATTTCACACATCACATGATATATGTCTGCGAACCCCTTTTGGTAATAATGTCATAATGTTCAATACTTTTATCTGTCATAACTTGCGATACACGTCAGCGATTCTTTACAACTTGCTTCATCTAAATATTTCTCTCAACAAAAAACCTGAGATGAATATTGAATTTATGATTCCACGTAAAATTGGATAAAGATGTTAGATTTTCTTGTAATTTCGCTCATACCAATATTTTTATTTGTATTAAAGGAAGTATGAAAATGGAATACTTCGGTCGACAATATCTGGTACCTTACGCACATTTCAACATTTTCTAAAAATGATCAAATATCTCATATAAAGTGAAGGAAGTAACAAATAAAGTCCAAACCTGGCACGTCGCAATATTTATATCATATTTATTTAGGTCCGATACGAAATGGACAATATTTAGTCCATTCCTTCGGAACCTACTCCATAGAGGGTCAACAATTTGAATAATCATAACAGAAGTCAAAATATATTTAAATAATCGAACATTGGCTGAGGGTATACATCTGTCGGCAAATCTGATTGCTACTTTTTAACAAGGTTTAAGGAGTTTTTTTTTCTCTACAAGGCCAAATTTAAAGGGTAATTTGATTGCCTAACTGCACGTATATTAACTGCTCATAATCCTGTCCTTTCAAACAGAAGGTTATTCAATCAATTTTATTTTTATTTATAAAGTCGTAAAACCGAAATTTGTCACTCCTTTGTAATTTTTGGAAATTAAAAATTCATTTTATGACCGACCACAACAATTAAACAAAACAATAATTTCCTTATTACTATCGCAAAGAAACACAAATGTTTCAGATAATTAATTTCGAGAATCGTAGGAGTGTAGGCTGGCTAACTGTTTAAGTACAATATTCAAATTATTAACATAAACTTGAAAAAGTGCTTAAAAAGATAAACAATTTTATTGTTTTGTGTTATTTATTTTTTCTACTTTCAAGCTTTTGAGCGCATCTCCATGAACTTGAAATTAATTGATAGTATTGGAAATAAAGGTGTGGATACCCACGGGCTTGGGGTCATTTACATATAGTCATTACGAAAAGACCTTTTTTCGGTATTGAAAATACAGGTTGAAGAAGCTGCCGAACAAGTGGAGGCAACCAACACCTTACGCCCATTTGGAATTTATCATGATCAGCGTTATCATGTTTCCTTCAGTGTGTCGGTGTGTGTGTGTGCCACAATGACATGGACATCCCAGCTTTGTTAAATTGTTTAATTACTTCAACCTTTTAAATGGCTTAAGGCAGTGAATCATTCGATTCGTTATTGATGTGGCTGGCATGGGGGCCTAGCGTGATGCTATGCGATCTGATGCGCTGGTGGCGTAAATCACCTGTCTTTGGTGGGCAGCTATTCTGTTGACTTTTTCGTTTTGCTTTGGTTTTGTTGTTTATCTTTTAATCTTGTGTTGTTCTCTTCCCCGGTCTTTATTTTCAATTGTTATCTACTTGTCTTTTCTTCTCCGACTGTTGTTGTTGTCTTTCTTCGGTATTATTGTCTAGTCCCTTGTGTGAAATGTTTACTTTCATACTTTCGTTTTCCATGAAATGACTGATGATAGCGAGTGATGCCCAAGACATGGTGTTCCCAATGAGTCATAAAGTATTTACCATATTTTAACTATTTACCGAGATATATGTGTTGTAAATTGACCCACTTTTGTTTATCTTTATTCATATCTCAAAGTTTATGTATTTCATTATGAAGCTTATCAAAATCTCTAAATCTAAAAGCGATACTCACCTATAAACAGTGTTGACTTTGATTTATACTAGGCGTGGAAAAAGGAGACAGTTGTTTAGATATATTTGTAAATAATTATTTTAGGATGAGAACGATGAATATAATATATCTATCAACATTAGATTGTTACAACGATGTTAGAGCTCGGACCATTCCCTCCGGGACCTCCCCCAAAAAGGGTCAAAGTTTTGAATAACCAAAACGATCATAATATCCGAAATAAGCATACGGTTCTCTTCATATTTCACACATCCCATTGTTTCTACTTACACAAAATCTGCTGTGAAGATGAGATATATCGGTCCAAATCTTCTGGTACCTCCCCCACAAAAGGCCAAAATTTTGAATGTCCATGAAGCTTATAAAACTCGACATTCTGAATTTTGGCTAAAAACCTAACTAAAAAAATTTGCGCACTGTTCACTTCTCTTTTAACAAAAATTGCACTCTATTTTTATTTTTGTATGTTCTCTTTAGTATCTGATATTAATTTTTTATACCCCTCACCATACATAGTATGGAGGGTATAGTATGTTCGTCATTCCGTTTGAAACTCATCCAAATAATAAAATTCTGAGATGATTAACCCTTTCCGTCTGTCCATCTGTTGTAATCTCGCTATAGTCAAAACGAATTAAGATAGGAAGCTAAAATTTTGCACAGATCTGTCGTTTGTCTGCAGGCAGATCGAGTTCCAAGCTGGACTATATCGGTCCACGATATCGTATAGACACCCCCCCCCCATATAAAAGTACCCTCCGATATTCTGTATTTTAATGATTTTTATCCACATTTTTCAATGGAATTGTCTGAAATTCAACACAAGGAGTTCTTTGTGAGTACTTTATTCCCTAGAAGATAATTGTCTATGTAGGTCCAGAATATCGTATACCCTCCATATAACGGTACCTCCAGATATTCGGTATTTTTATGATTTCAGACTAATTTTCTAATGCAATTATCTTCAAACCCACACAAAGGGTACCTATGACTTATGTCGGACCACGTCTTTTTATAGCCTTTATATAACGGTTTTCATTTGAGCGTTATTTTTCGACGGTTTTTTTTTTTTTTTTTTTTTTTTTTTTTAAAATAAAAAGTTCGGCCCGGCCGAAACTTGGCTGCTTTTTTAACTGTGCAATTTGAAATGGATCAAAAAATCTTCAAACACACTGATCTTTCAATTTTATTATTGTATTTTAATCAGATGTTGGTAGCTTCATAATTGTTGACATATTTTTGGCGTTTTTGCTCAGCGTTGCTACTTTTTCATACAGGAACGAAGGTTATATCGCAAAGTTCTATACATTTCTAACTAGGCTAAAAGAATGTTGACTTCAAACATCTACAAACGAAAAAAGAGAGAAATTTGATTAATTATATATTTAATAGACATCCATCTGAGGCTGGCCGTCAGTCAGTAAAATCGATAAAACATTGTAATTTTATTTGTATTTTAAATTAAAATTATACGAACAACAATTTCCCCACCAAAAAAACATGTTTGAATTTATTTTTAAATATTTTCTGCTAATTCTTATAAATGTCAAATCACTCTACGAAATTTCTGTTAATTCTTATATACACATATTAATGAGAAAAATTATTAATAATCAATTCTTTCTAAATTTCAGCGAATTGAAACCCAGCCGAAACCGAAATAACGGCAGTCACAACCAAAGACAACAGACAGTGTAGTACCAGTATCGAGTGGAACCTACTGCATAGCACAGCATAAAAATCCCCGTTTTTTGAATGGATTTGAGTGAATTGCTGAAACCAACTTGCAGTGGTTTTTCGGCTTAAAAGACAAAAAACCAAAGAAATAATAAAACAAAATAACACTCTCGGTAATAAAGAAAGAAACAACAAAAATAACAGCGTCACACTACCATAAGTTGTTAACAACTCCCGTGTAATAGAACGTGTTGGAATTTTGCTCCCAACACACAACAAAAACAAAATTAAACAAATCGCATCGAAAAAACAAAACAACAAAAATTTAATATTTGTGAAATAATTTGTGAATTTGAATGTGAATGTGGATGATGTGAAACAAACCGGCCAGCTTAGCTTCAAAATTATTTAAATCAATAAAATCAACAACAACAACAAGAAAATTATAAATAAAAAATACCCCCTTGATCGCCAAGTCTTGAAGTGAACACAAACAACAAAGAGAGCGCGTGTGTGTGTGTGTGCGCGCACCCTCAAACACCCATTGAATAATTGCAGATTAATGACGTCTGACTCCGTTGCCAGTCTTGGAATGGCATAACAGCATAGACGAGCGTTTTTTGTTCGTTTTGTGGCTGGCGATTACCACTTTTTGCATTCGCCAATTCTCATTTGAAATTCATTAGTCCATAGCGGTTGTTGTCTTGTGATATTTGGTTTTGTTGGTCTCTAAGATGACACGTGCATACTGTCGACAATTTCGATCGAATCGGAGCTGAGAAACTGCCAGGTGCTATTTCCTCCCCAACGCAAAAAAAAAAACAGAAAAAAAGTCTGCGGCTTTTTAAAATTTCAACAACGGTGCCACCTAAAACCGCAACATGACAGTTTCCTATGCCGGTGAAGTGCCAAATGGCAGCAGTTTTGGCTGCTTTTGGAAAATTTTATGGAAGTGAGTATAATGTCGTTGCTTTGCCCACATTTCAATCTACGTTCAGCTGAAACAAATGAAATTTGTCAAGATTAGATCTGAAGCCCGCTAAATACTTAAATATTTATTTATACAATCACCTTCACCTCGTATAAAACAGCATCGCGTTTTATTTTTCATTGTTTCCCCTTCTGTTCGCCACTATCAATTCGCAAAAATCTCTTCGAAATAATTAAACGACACGCAGTGCTTAACACAATAATAACTCATTTTCAATTAGGTTTTTGAGAAGACGCAGAAGAAGTAGCAACAACGACGACTCATCATTATGCAAAACAAAAAATAATATAATAAATAACTTAAAAAACGAAACAATTACTTTTTATTTAAGTGTTTGTGTGTTTTGCTCAAAACAAGCTAAAATAATTATTTTTTTTTTATAATGATGCTGTAGCATCGAAATGTAAGTCTTACATCATCCATTTCGCATGGAGTGCATGTTGGAGGAATAAAAATTGCAATGGAAATTATTTTCTTAAAAAAGTGATGCCACATCAATGTTCATTAAAATTCATGGCATTTTAGGGAACAATAATTCTTCTTCTTCGTAATATTACTATGAAACTTAGTTCTAGTTCGGGAATGGACAATATCTGCCCACTCCTTCTTTTACTTCTTCCACATAAAGTCAAAATTTTAAAAATTTTCAGAAATTTACCTCCAATCCCTCCATCCAATTTAAACTTTGCAAATTCCTTATGAAATGGGTAATAAGAGTCCGATTGTCTTGCATTTTCGTACATTCCAATATTTCTATAAACCCAAGATCAAGTGTGAAAATGGGATATGACAGATCACCCCCTTCTAGTACCTTCCCCAAAAGGTGTCAACATTTAGAATACAGGGTGAGATAAAAAACTACAACAAAGTAAAACGACACAATTTTTACATTTTTTTTTAATTTTATTGAATGAAAGCAAAAAATGTCGGAAATAGCATCAAATTTTAGAACAAGTTTAGATTTGTTCGAATTGGTCAACTTTGACACGAAGTAAGGCCTTCAAACGGCCAATGAAACCGTCACACGCCGCCCGAATGTTGCTCTGCGGTATGTTGGTCCATTCCCGGCAAAACGCTTGCTTGAGGTGATCGACACTTTGATATTTTTAGCGCCAACCTTGATTTCGAAAATTCTCCAGACACAATAGTCCAACGGATTGGTATCCGGAGATTTTGGTAACCTTTGTGCGCTGGAAATAAAGCGGGGAACCTCATTTTGTAACCATTGGGTGGCACGTGCTGAGTGCGATGGTGCTGAGTCCTGTTGGAATGTCCAAGGTCTGCGGCCAAAATGTCTATTAAGTCTATTTTCTTTCTGTTGCGGTGTAAGTTCTTGCACTTTTTGGAATTTCAATGGCTTTACCCCGACCTCAATATTTGCCAAATAGAATATTGCGATATGTTCAACTCACGAGCCATTTTTCGGCCACTGCTACTCTGGTTTCGATCAAGTCGCTTCATTATATTTCGAACCATTTATTGACAGCTGATGTTGCTGTTTTCTTCCGTCCACATCCTTAACGTCGGGCTGCGGTAATGAGCGATGGAACGAGATACAAACGATTTATTCACATTTAAATGCCACAACGGCCACTTGTGTTTTTCTAGCTAAATAAAAAAAACACCCTGTCAGGATTGAATTCCATCACATATAATGTTTTTTTCTGGAAAATTCTCACCAAAATGCTTTATTACGCTTGTAAACAATATAATGAGCTGTCACTGGAATAATTTTAACAGCTGTCGGACGAGTGGCTTTGAACTGACAGTAGTCTGCAGTTGGTTTTTCATGTCACCCTGTATAGTGTCAATATGAAATTTTTCAGGACAATTTTTCTGGTTCCTCCCTTACATAGAGCTTAAATTTCGAATCATCATAATTCTCATAAGCAAATCAGGAATTTTTTTCAATTTTAATTTATATCAATATTTTTATCAACCATAGATCTAATGTAAATATGGGATTTTTCGGGCCACTCCTTCTGATATTTCTCCCTCAATAGATAAATAAGTGTTTCAGTTCAATTCTGGTTTCGTTAATATTTCTTTTGTTATCGTTTTTTTATGGTAAAACTTATACTTGTATTGAAAGAACTAGATGGCAAAACTTCGGCTAGATTTATCTAGTAAAGAAACGTCATCCGCCATCGTTTCGTTATTTTGCTCAGGAACGGGTTTCTAATAAAAAAATATGGCCAAAAATGTAAAATATGACGGATCTATTAATTATATTTACAAATAAAATCACGTGTGTATTTAATTTTTTACACCATAACCTTTTGTTTGAAGACTATGGGTTTTACCATAAACTAGTTATTGTCAGTTCTACCCACATTTTCACCTGAAAATATAAACAAAATGTATTTGATTATTTATTAGAGATTTTTCGATACTATAATTTCTAAATGATATTCATCCTATTGTGTATAAAGAATTAAAAATCAACATTTTGCTATCCATATATGGTAAAGAGATCATTAACATTATATTTGGAACATTCCTAAGATTCTTTGAATTTGAATATATAAGTAAACACAGCAGGTCTTTGCTGAATAAATTACATTTCAAAAGAAAAAAATTGAAAGTATTTTCGGTTTCCTTTTAGCATTAATGCATTCACAAATAGTTTTGTGATGAAATTAGTTACCAGTTATGCAAAGTTTTTTTTTTTTTTAAATGAATACAAATTATTCTAAAAAATATGGTGAAAGATATCCATATTTATACGTTATGCTACACTATATTTATTTTTAACATAAAGATGGAGACGAGGCAAATCCATAGTTACTTTTGATGTTCTCCTCAAAATAATAATTTATTTATGCATATCTATCCGTCCGACAATCCATGTATTTTTAATAAAAGCACTCATCTTTCTTAAAGTCTGATCATGATGAAATTTTGTACATTTGGTTTGTTTTGTTTATACGGCCATTTGATTTAAGTAGAAATATTTCGACTCAGACTTCGATAGCTCCAATATACATGACTTTTCGATTAGACTTCAAGCCAAATATTCTTAAAACATATATTAAATTTTGCCATTTTGGGAAAGGAATAGAGCCTCTGAGCCGGTCCCTAGTCTACGTCGGTGTTAAGCACACACAGTCATTCATTTTGGTCTATTTTATACCCTAAATATTTCCGCTCATGTCTAAAAATATAGGCAACACCCTGAGGAAATATTAAATATCTTGAAGTGGCGTTATATTCTCTAGAGAGAGGGAAAGAGTGAGAGAGAGAGAGTTGAAATTCACCGTTAAAATTAAAAAATAAGTTAAAAAGCAGTAAGTTCGACCGGGCCGAACTTTTAATACCCTCCACCATTTGCAACGAATTTGGAAATTTTCAAAAAATAAAATCCTTAAAAAATTCTGTTAAAATTTTAAAAATACCGAATATAGCCGTTATATTGGGGTCTATACGAGGTGGATATACATATGCATTTTTTGTCATAAGCCATTACCATATTCAAATTCGAAACAGGACCCGCACCAAAAATTTTCTGTCACAGACTGTAGTTCCCATAACGAACTTCAAATACCAAATTTTAAACAATTCCGGTTAATAATGTCGCTAAAATCATCAAAATACCGAACATAGCGAGGTGCCGTTATATGGGGGCTATACGAAGACGTGGACCTGCACAGACAATTTTCAGTCTTAGGGTGTAGTATCCATTTGGAACTTCAAATACCAACTTTGAAACAATTCCGGTGAATAACGTCGCTAAAATCATCAAAATACCGAATATAGGGAGGTACCGTTATATTGGGGCTATACGAAGACGTGGTCCTGCAAAGACAATTTTCTGTCTTAGGGTGTAATATCCATTTGGAACTTCAAATACCAGATTTGAAACAATTCCCGTGAATAATGTCGCTAAAATCATCAAAATACCGAATATCGGGAGGTACCGTTATATGGGGGCTATACGAAGACATAGACTTGCACAGACAATTTTCTATCTTAGGGTGTAGTATCCATCTGGAACTTCAAATACCAAATTTGAAACAATTCCGGTGAATAACCCTTCATGAAGGTTGAAGTTTAATTCAGCTCTCAGAAAGTGCTACAGGCTGACATGACCCTGTAGTGTATTCTATTCAGACAACCCCTCGCACTTCGTGCGAGCCACCAGAACTCAAGCACCGGCCACGGTGATGGTGTGAGCCGCCATAACAGCCGATTACCGCTCTCCGCTCGTATTAATCAACCGTGGCATCAGAATAAATGCCGAATATTATCACGAAAATATTCTGGAGGATGTATTAAAGCCTTGAACACGCAAACATTTTGCCAGCAAACCTTGGACATTCCAACAGGACTCAGCACCATTGCCCTCAGCACGCGCAACCCAAGAATGATCACAAAATGAGGTTCCTCGCTTCATTTCCAGCGCACAATGGCCACCAAAATCTCCGGATACCAATCCGTTGGACTATTTTTTTCTGGAGTATTTCGGAAAGCAAAGTTGGCACTAAAAAATACCAAAGTGTCGATCAGCAAGCGCTTCGCCGGGAATGAGCCAAAATACCGCAGAACAACATTCGGGCAGCGTGTGACGGTTTCATTGGCCGTTTGAAGGCCATAATTAGTACCAAAGGTGACCAATTCGAACAAATCTAAACTTATAATTTTATGATATTTCCAACATTTTTTGCTTTCATTCAATAACAATTAAAAATTATGGCGTTTGACTTTGTTGCAGTTTTTTATCTTACCCTGTATATCTGAGTCAAAGACTCCCAAAATACTTACTTTTTTTGCAAAAATTTCGATGGAAAAAAATTCTATATCAAATTGCATTATGAGTCCCTGAACAAAAGAAATGCGTAAACTTTATAGGTAAAATAAAAAATATCATCAACTTTCGTTTATAAAAGCCTTTCTTATTTCGAAAAATTTAGCACTTTTCCGCATTCAGTGCAGATATTCTCAGAATTTCACTGTGCATTTGGATTTTAGATAAAAAATCCAATAGCGTTTTGGGTTCTCAAGCCAAACTAATTTTGCGTCTTTATATAACATTAACAATGCTCAAAAGTGACTCACATATTTTAAGACACATTTCGCAAAATGGAATAATGAGCTTTAAAATTGTATTGAAAACTTTGAATTGCTTTAAGAATTAATGGTTTGATAAAAGGGTCATACCAGTCACCTCCCTGGTTTGATGAAATACCCCGATTTCAAGTATTTTTTTTTAAGTTTTAGTCATAATTTACCATTTAACATTGCCAATTTTTGGTGTTCTGTGTTCTTATTATGTAGAACCTTCCTTTCAGAATTAGTATAGACCAACGTTTTCGAATAGATCATTTTTAAGATACACCCTGATTTAAGTTATTTCGAGGTTGGTCTCATTTCCCAATCGATTTGGCTCAAAAATTGTATTTTGATTACTTCGTAGAGTTGTTCCAATCTAGTTCATAGTCCAGTAGGCCAGTTACTAAAAGTATGAGTGATTTCATAAATTTCATATATTTCATATCACTCATACGTGCAGGTTTCATGCAAACGACAATTGTCTCTGGAAGTAGATAAGGATCTAGTTCGTTCCATGGAACTAAATTTGCGCAACTCTATTACTTCGGGTGTTAAAAAAACATTCCTAGGGAAGAAGATTTTATCCGTGGCGTGTGAGTTATATGTAGCACAAATATTAAGTATACGAATTAAAGTTTACACATTTCAAACAACAGGTGTCCTTGGAACTAGATAAGGAACTAGCTCGTAAAATGGGACTAAATTTACGCAACTCTATTACTTCGGGAGTTGAAAAACCTTCCTAGAATAGACGATTTTATCCGTGGCGTATGATTTATATGTAGCACAAATATTAAGTATACGAATTAAAGGTCCTTATATAAGCAAACCCTACCCAAAATTGTATACGTAATAAAATACCTCTAATCACTAACTTAACAAATGATGTAGTTGTCAAAAAATGCATTACATTTGTAACTACTGGTGACGTCCGACAGCTGTCGCTGTGACATTACATCTACATACATTTAACGTGGTTGAATATTTTCTTTCATTGTTTTTTTTTCACTTACGTTATGGCATTCGTGGAAAAAAATGGCAAAACTAATGGCGCAAAAATCGAAACTAACGTTAAATCACGTTCTGGCATGGAGCAAATTGAACTTTTTTATGTCTGCAGTTGATTTGGTTGTAAAGCATGCCGTTTGTCTCCAAACAACAAGCCAACCAAACGAACGAATGAACGAAAGAAGGAAATTTAATTTATTTTTTAAAATAAATTAACAAATAGTATTGTAAATAGAAAAACAACAACACCAACAGTACAAATGTAAAAAAAAAACAATAAAAATGAAATGTTTTCCTTTTTGCGAGCTACAACAGCAAAAACAATTAATAGTTTTGTAATTAACGTCAACTACATTTGTTTGTTTTCTGTTCTTGCTGTGTGGCCGGTCATTGTTGCTATTGGTGCTGGTGGTTGTGGTGTCATTGATTATTGCGTCTCCAGTTCTTGGCATTGTTTTGCAAATTTTTAGAGGTTGCATGAAAACAGAAAATATTTTCCAGTGAAGCACAACAATTATACAAATTTCCTCAAGAATCTGTGGAGATATTTTAATTATCCCATTTAACTCATTTTAATACAATTGGCAATTAAAGAAGACAAATTACCACATTCGGGATGATTTTCACGATCAACTAAACATGATGCCGTTCCGCTATCATGGTTCTTGTAACAATTAAGTTTTTGAAGATGATTCAGTCAAGCTCAGACTCACTCAGACTTCATTATCAGCCTCGACTGCACAACATTTACATGCATTGATTGGCCTTTCAACGTCATAGCGTTGCCTCTTGGCATTAATTACCCTGAATTTTTCCACAATATTCTGGGGATAATATAATTTGGAATATTTCTGTCGACTTTAAACAAATGCAATATCCCATTGTTCTTTGGCCAAAGCGTGATGAAAACAATACTAAAACAAATGAAACACAAAATTAATGTTGAAATACATTCAGTAATTGTTTTTCAGCGGAACAAACACAGCCACAAACTTCCTCAGAATATTTAGTGAACTTTTTTAAAAATCAGAAAAAAATGACTAATTCCAACATGGCTAACTGCCATTAATAGAGTTATTAAAGAGAAGTTTCTTGCTTTTTTGCGAAAAAAAAACCTTAAACACACAAAGCTGAAAACAAATAGCTGAAGTTATTAATTAATTGAAATGAAAATGTTAACAAAGCGTTAAACAACTTTATGAGACGAAATTGACTCAATAGAAAACAGAGGAGAAAAATTATGTTAGATATAAGAAAGGTAATGTAAGAGTATGACAGATATAGATTTTTTCTTTGGAAAAGATTATTATATATTATTTGTAATTATTAAACATTTCTATTTTTAGCTCATATGAATTCTGTGACTCATTCTCAATAACAAATTAAATTAAATTAACATCCAAAATAAACCAATAAAAAAGTTTAAACCATCTTGAAAAACATATTAACAAATATTTCAATATTTTAAACTTGAACATTATATAAAAATATTTGTGTATCCAAAGGATTGCAAAGTAAAAACTTCTCAATTGATCTTAAAGTAAATTTTAGTATTTATGACATATCATGAAAATACAAACTTGGACAATATCGTGACCTTTTAAGACTCCTCTAACGACCCCATCGCTTCCATTAGCTGTAAATAATATTTACAACAAGTTAAATATCAAACCTAATCCCAACAGCCTATGACAATCATATTTATTACACTTTAGGCACACGACTACAAACACAAGAACCGAATTTTACAATATCTTCATTTATTACACCATACACAGGTTTATGGGTTCTCTGCTACACACCTTCTCTATATCGCCATTTGTCTTCATATTTTTTAAAAGGGTATTATTTTAAGGACCAAAAAAGCCGGTAATTAAACCTTCTAGATTCGAAAAGTGCATCTTTCAAACCGTTTTTTTTTTTTTTTTTTGAAAGGGAATTAAAGGGTAAAAACTGCAACAAAGTCAAACGTCATAATTTTTACATTTTTTTAATTTTATTGAATGAAAGCAAAAAATATCGGAAATAGCATCAAATTTTAGAATAAGTTTAGATTTGTTCAAATTGATCGCCTTTGACACGAATTATGGCCTTCAAACGGCCAATGAAACCGTCACACGCTGCGGTATTTTGGCCCATTCCCGGTGAAGCGCTTGCTTGAGATGACCGACACTTTGGTATTTTTTTATTACCAACCTTGCTTTTCAAAATACTCCAGACACAATAGTCCAACGGATTGGTATCAGGAGATTTTGGTGGCCATTGTGCTCTGGAAATGAAGCGAGGACCCTCCTTTTGTAACCATTCTTGGGAGGCGCGAGCTGAGTGCGATAGTGCTGAGTCTTGTTGGAATGCCCAAGGTCTGCGGCAAAAATGTGTGCATGCCCAAGGCTTTAAAACACCCTCCAGAATATTTTTGCAATAATATTCGGCATTTATTCTGGTACCGAGGTCGATTGATACGAGCGGAGAGCGATCATCGGCTGTTATGGCGGTTCACACCATCACCATGGCCGGCGCTTGATTTCTGGTGGCATATTTTCAGCTGACCTCTTTGCCAAGTAAACCCGACAATTTTGTTTGTTTAAAGTTTTCTCATCGGAGAAAACGAAATTCGACAGTTCACCACTTTCGGCCAAGCGAAGCAACTCTTTAGCTGTTTTAAGTCTATTTTCTTTCTGTTGCCGTGTAAGTTCTCGCAATTTCAATGGCATTACTCCGAGCTCATTTTTCCATATTTGCCGAATGAAATGTTGCGATATTTTCAGCTAACGAGCCATTTTTTGGCCACTGGACGCGGGTTTCGATCAAGTCGTACGAGTGATGGTACGAGACACAAAAGATTTATTCACATTAAAAATCCTGGAGTGATCTAACGATAGCCACATGTAGTTTTCCACCCAATTATAAAGAAATCACTCTATCACGCTTGAATTCCACCACGAATAACTTTTTTTTGGAAAATTCTCACCAAAATGCTTTTGTACACTTGTAAATAATATAATGAGCTATCACTGGAATAATTTTAACAGCTGTCGGACGAGTGGCTTAGAAATGACAGCAGTCTGAAATTGGTTGTAGTTTTTTCATCTCACCCTGTATATAAGGCTCATATTTAAGGCTCAATTGCTGAAGTATAAATAAATCGAAATATCGACTGAAACTTTCGGGGCTATGTTATAGCTCATGTCTGACGAGCCCACTTGAATTGATACATGGAAACTCAACATTTAAGGCTTTATTCGTGTTATCGGCCGAAATGTTTTAAAGACTATGTCAAAATGGGACTAAGCCGATGGATCGTTTGAGGTGCAGTCGCGTTCAATATTTGCATCAAAAGGTCTTCAATCATTAAATGACATAGACCTCAAATGGAATGTTTATTCCATTTATTTTTCAGTATTGTCTGTTCCTTTACTGTCCTATAGCTCTTTAAACTCATCCTTATTTTTAGGTTCATATATTATTCATACGCAAATATTTTGTATAATTAGAGTGCAATATCGCTTAAGTGCAAAAGCTACTTTAGGGAATAATAATTGAATAATTTAAAATTTTTAATTTATTAATTTCTGATTTAGAATCACTCATACGAATTATTAATTATTGATCATTTTTTATATTTGAATTTAATTTAAATATTTAAAATAATGAATTTCTTTTCTCTTTCTTTTTCTCACTTTTAGATGGCGTGGCAGTGTTTATAAATTAGTTTGGCGTGAATTAATCGCTTATTTATGTTTATATTATACAATAAATTTTTTATATAGATTCGTTTTTACCGAATATCAACAAAAGTGAGTATTTTGATTATTTGAATATTTTCTCAAGTTATCAGTGATAATGTAAACCTTATTCTCTATTTTCCAGAATATTTCATAAGATTCGCGTATATTTTGGCCAACAGGGTGAAAGTATACCAATGTCCTTTGTATTGGGCTTCTATGTTAGTCTGGTAGTGAAAAGATGGTGGGAACAATACAGACTCCTGCCATGGCCAGATACCCTGGCGTTATTTATTAGTGCAGCCATACCAAACTCAAATGGAGGCGTCAATGTAAGTACCATAACTTAATGACAACAGGATATACGTTTTCTTTTCAAATTTATATATGATCTGTACCAGAACCTGCAAGAATCTATTAGTTTTGTAATCTTTAATCTGCATAATCTGTTATCGTAGTAAAAAGTTTTACATTCTAGCAGTTCTGGAACAGACCAATAACAATTTTTAATTGGAATGTTCTTTACTTTATTCACTTCCCTCGAAATTTCGATTGTCCTGTTTAGACAATCCTTAGCTTTTACGAAAAATCTATTTTCCATTTTTAAACATTTTTTCATTTTTCTCTCCCAGAACGAAACAGGCCGTTTAATGCGCCGAAATATCATGCGTTACATGGTATTGGCCTATGTCATCACCCTGCAACGCATTTCCCTTCGAGTCAAACGTCGTTTCCCCACCACCCAACACCTCGTGGATGCTGGTCTCATGCACGAGTCAGAAATGAAAATCTTCGAATCGCTAAATCAAAAGAGTCCCATGTCCAAATACTGGATGCCCCTGGTTTGGGCCACCAATATCATTAATCGAGCTCGCAAAGAGAATCTCATAAGTTCCGATCATATTGTACAAACTATTTTAGTGGAACTCTCCGATATACGTCGAAGGCTGGGTGGTTTAATTGGCTACGACACGGTTTGTGTGCCATTGGTCTATACACAGGTAAGTTAGCGAGATCAATCAATATTTTGTGTCATTCAAAAGCAAAAAAACGACACTGGCAAAGGCTTCCTGAATGAAAATGAATTGGTTTTGTGGATTTCGGCAATAATGTGACAAAACATTTAAATACAATAACAATGAACTCTTGTATGTGTGTGCGTGTGTGCCCATGCTTGGTGTCAATGCACGAAACAGGCAAGAAATTGAACCGAAATCAATTGGACCAAAAAACAGTTCAGGAAGTCACTGAGACAGAACTTGAATATAATCAAGGTTTTCGTAGTCTATTGACACAATATTTTGAACAATCGAAAATTTCCACTTGAAAACCGTTAATAATACATTGTTTTGTTTTTTCTCTCTCTTTATTACAGGTTGTAACCTTAGTATTATACACTTATTTCATTGCCGCCTTAGTGGGTCGCCAAATGCTGCCCGATCACACTGGCCAAGAAGATAAAGATTTATATTTCCCCCTCTTCACTGCACTACAGGTAATTGAAGACAAATGAATTTACATATTTTTGTGTCTTACGGTTACTACTATTGTTATTGCTGCTGCTATTGCAACCGCAACTATACCACAGCAATGTCGAATAAAACAAAAATATTGAATGCAAACTTAACAAAGGCAACCCAACACCCAATTTAAATACCAATTTTTATTTGGCACACTTGATACGTCGAACAAATGTCGCCAGTATTATGATTTACTTTCAGGTAACAAAAAAAATTAAAAAAAAATTGTCGCGGTTTTTTTACAGTAACCAAACTCTATCGACTGCCTGAATGAATTTGCTAACACCCCGACATTGCTAAGCTTAGTATTTTATGAAAAATAGCAATGGATAGTACAATGTTGTGTTTACATATCAGCATAAAAAAATATTGGTGTATTTTTATGTGTGACTAGGCATACGGAAACACACATACACACCCTACTTAAGTGTTTAGTACCTACATATTATATAATGGCTGTATATCATTTATGCATATAAATTGCTGCTGATGTCTCACTTGCGGCGAATAATTTTTGCACAAAACTAAGGTGTTGACATTAAAATTATAACTATAACATATTTTAATGAAATTATGTTATTATTGCCACCATCAACCAAAGCTATGCACCTCACATAATTTGGTATGAATAAACACATAATTAATGGTATGGAAATAATTATTTCATATATAAATAGAGTCGACTTTAACCCTTATCTGTGAAAGAGTATAACAATAAACACACCAGTTGGATTTGAGTATTTTGAGGATCCAGTCCAAACTTTACATACCCTCATTCTATGGTGAAGTTCACTTTCTATTTGTTTGAATTTCATAGATATGACATGTATGACCTACTTTGAAGTAATAAAAAGTTAATAAAAAGTGTCAGTCGGTTTGGCCGACAGATGTATACCCTCAGCCAATGTTCAATTATTTAAATATATTTTATCTTCCCCTGTGGAGAAGGTACCAGAAGAAAGGTCCAGTCTCTACCATCTTTATATCAGATCTTGTGTTTATGTAAATATTAAGATGTACCAAGTCTGAATGGAATCGGATTTTAATTTCGTGCTTTATGAGCTTCATGGATATTCAAAATTTTGGCCCTTTGTGGGGGGAGGGGGGTTTCCAGAAGAAGTGGACCAATATATTCTATCATTGCACCACACCTTGGTTTAATAAAAATATTGTGATGTGTGTAATTTGAAAACAATCGTACTCTTACATCACATTTTATAAGAGTTATAATTATTCAAAATTGTGACCCTTTGTGGGGGAGGTACTTGATGGAGTGGGCCAATATTGCCCATCTCCGAACTCGATCTAAGTTTGATAATAATATTACAATGTGCCAAATTTGGACTAAATCGGATATTCCCTTCTAGAGGAATCGTGTGCACCAGCCAGTCAGACAGATAAACGGACGGACATCGCTAGGTCGACTCCAAATGTTCTGAAATGGATTTGGCCCAGATAGACCTAGGGCCTAACCGTTATTTACGGCACGTTTTAGTCTCTTTTTACCAAAGTATAATTGAAACAGAGGTAGGTCTGCACTCACTCGTACCTCCGAATACCGCAAAATATCGCCTCAAGTACTTTCTATTTAGGATAAACTCAGGCACAATTTGTTTAGCTCAATGATGAAATCTCTCAAATTTAGGGGGTGGTGTTAAATGTATGATATCATTGATGATCATATCATGCATATACAGGATGAGATTAAAAAAATGCCACAAAGTTAAACGCCATAATTTTTAATTTTTTTTTTTAATTTTATTGAATGAACCCAAAAAATGTAGAAAATAGCATCAAATTTTCAATAAGTTTATATTTGTTTGAATTGGTCACCTTTGGCACGAATTATGGCCTTCAAACGGCCAATGAAACCGTCATACGCTGCCCGAATGTTGCTCTGCGTTATTTTGGCCCCTTCCCAGCGAGGTGATCGACACTTTGGTATTTTTTAGTGCCAACCTAGCTTTGCAAAATACTCCAGACACAATAGTCCAACGGAATGATATCCAGAGATTTTGGTGGCCATTGTGCGCTGGGAATAAAGCGAGGAACCTCATTTTGTAACCATTCTTGCGTGGCGCGTGCTGAGTGCGATTGTGCCGAGTCCTGTTGGAATGTTCAAGGTCTGCGGCCAACATGTTTGCGTGCCCAAGGCTTTAATACAACCTCCAGAATATTTTCGCGATAATAAAGCAAGTAAAAACGATCATTTTGTTTGTTTAGAAACTGCTGGACAACGAATATTTTCTCATCGGAGAAAACCAAATTCGGCAGTTCGCCACTTTCGGCCAAGCGAAGCAACTCTTTAGCTCTTACGAGTCTCTTTTCTTTCTGTTGCGGTGTAAGTTCTTGCACTTTTTGGAATTGCAATGGCGAGTTCGGTTTTCAATATTTGTCGAATGGAATTTGTGATATGTTCAGCTCACAAGTCATTTTTCGGCCACTGCGACACGGTAACGAGCGATGGTACGAGACACAAAAGATTTATTCACATTTAAATGCTGGAGTGCTCTACAGATAGCCACTTGTGGTTTTCCAGCCAAATATAAAGAAATCACACTATCACGCTTGAATTCCATCACGAATAACTTTTGTTCTGGAAAATTCTCACCATAATGCTTTTGTACGCTTGGAAACAATACAATGAGCTGTCACTGGAATAATTTTAACAGATGTCGGGCAAGTGGCTTATGAATGACAGCAGTCTGAAGTTTGTTGCGGTTTTTTCACCTCACCCTGTAAATCGCACAATCGAGACGGTCAATTATGCGGTCTCGTGAAATAAAATATCCACCGTACTCGCCTCTCAACAAGTCCATTGTTACACGTGCTGTGCTGTTAAAAACTAATCCTTAACGATTGAAATGAAAATTTGAATCAAGTTTTCAAGTTTCGAATAGAATAAAATCTGTCAAATATGGACCAAATCGTATAGATATCGCTTTATCTCATATATGTATGTTCTGCTAAATATGCAGACCTTACCCTTTCCTATTGGGGGTTTATCCTTATCTGTCTCCTTAATATTTCAAATCTAATCGTTTAGAACGATTGGATATTTTAGTAATATTTAAAACTTCCATTTGCAACTCCGACTCAATAAAATCCAGTTCCTCCCCCGACTGTTGGTACTGAAAGTAAAATTCGAAATGCAATGTTGCCTTTTCCTATCGAAAAACAATTTTTGGTGACGATGTATTGATTGACTGACTTCTCTGCTATCAAAAGTCTCAATGTCAACTTTTTCTCTAGACTACATATTCCAAAGATGGACTCACTAGTAAACTTCGGTTTCAAGGGTAAAATCGGATTTTCGTCGCAAATACGAATCTATTTGCAAAAAATCATTTCAGAAGAGTTTTTATCGATCCAGCCATATCGGTGCGCATATTCGGAAAAAAATTACGCAAAGCAATATATGAATCAAAGCATTTAAATTCTAGTACCACAAATCATTATGCTCTAAAAATCTGAATCAATTTTACCCTGTCCATTAATTTTTTTTTTTTTTTTTTTCAAAAAACTCAACTACTTCCTACAGAAGTATACTTCATCACTTTCATGTATTACATCCATTACTTGCAAATTTCAGATATAAAGATAAAAATATATACACTTTGTTATTGGCGGATAAAAATAGCTTAATTTGTTATAATTGTAACTTTTCCAAATAAGGCAAACAACGCCTAAATGAATGTCAAAAGAAGACGAAGAAAGAAGAAAGGCTTCAAATATTCCCAATATGGTTAAGTGGCTTCCAAAAATATTGAAAATGTGCCAACATCCAGTAGACCTGCATATATGGCACACAAACACGTGGGTTAACCTTATAAGGAAAATCTTTCGAAATATTCGTTTGAGTATGTATGGATGTGTGTTTGCAAATTGTTCGCCTCCGTTAATGAAAATGTGTGCCATAAAATTAATTAAACAACCGAAATGAGTGTGGCGGTGTCAAGTGTTGCTCAAAAAAAAATGTTTGTTCGATGTCAGTTGTGCCGACCATAAATACAACATAAATCAAGTTTTAAGATAATTTTCGTACATCAATTTGTTTATTGTTTGTTTGTTTATTATATATATTTTATATAATTTTATTGTTTTTCTTTTTATTCATTTTTTTATTCATAGTTTGTTTTCTATGTCGGCTGGCTCAAAGTTGCCGAGGTGCTCATCAATCCGTTTGGTGAAGATGACGACGATATTGAACTCAACTGGTTAATTGACAGACACATTAAGGTAAGTACGCGTAGAATAGACAGATGATGTTGTCGATGATGAATACGTTTTGGGCCTAGCCTGATCTGGCCGGTCCCTCGGCTCGTTAATCGCCAGCACCTTTGTTGTATAATGCATAATTACGCTGTTAATGAATTTTGTTGAAAATACGTTTTAGGGGTTTTTATTTTTATTATTATTTTAATTTTGATAACTAATCAATTACTATAAAATTTTAATTAATCAATGGAAAAAGAGGGAGTGGAAGAAGGTAAAAAATGGCCTAATATACGTGTAAGTCACCGAGTTAGCCAAAAATGCCTTTCGGGGAGAGTCCAAATGAAAAAGTGAGATTTTGAAGAAATATTCCCCAAAAATAACTAAAAATTTACCATTTCGTAGGAGGACCCGGGCCTGTGTGGGTGATGTGAGTAATGGAAAGTACTTTCAAACTTTTAAAAAACTAAAGGAAGTCTACACAATTTTGAAAAAATGTAAATATAAATATATGGCGGCTATAGTGAGCAATTTTTAGCAGATTTTCGCTCCACTGACAACCTGGAATTCTACAACAAGCTTAATATTTTTATTAAGACAACCACAATTTGGAAGTAACCTTTATATTTAGGAACTACTGCGAGGCAAAGACATACATGTACTGTTTACATATATCCCACTCTCTCTCTCTCTCTCTCTCTCTCGCTCTTAAAACCATATTATGTTAAGATTTTAAAACCAAGCTATATAAGTTGAAGCTTTAAACTCAATCTGTAATTATTAACGGGGCAAAAAACACTTTTATGTAACCTGAAATCTATACACAATAATTCCAGGAACTTGAATCAATAATTCAAGTATAGTTATTTTTCGACCATTTTCAGCCTGATGGCTTTTTAATTTGATAATTTTCAAAATTTACCCCGTCAGAAAAAAGTTTTCGGTCCTGTGTTTGTCTGGACGAAATACGTTTCAATGGAGTCGATCCAGCGACGACTGAGGAACGACTGAGTCCTTCTGGCCAACTGATGCTCATCTTTCGAAGGTAGTGGCTGATTTGGTTCAAACATCGTCACCTTTTTTCCAAATTTAGGCCAATTTGGGATATAGGCAATATTCACATCATCTAGTAACTCCCACATTTTTATAACCTCAGCCAGATCGGTAAAGAGGGTATATATCATTTGATAAGGTCAAAACGTTCCTAGTCGAATTAAATGATTTAGACCCTAGGTCTCTTTGGACTATATCCGTTTCAGGACATTTGAAGTCGATGTCCGCCCGTTTGTCTTTCTGACTGGTGCGCACGATAACTCTCAAAGGGAGTATCCGATTTGGTCCAAACTTAGTTTTTTCAAACTTAGATCGAGTTGGGCAATATCGGTCCACTCCTTCTGGTACCTCCCCCACAAAAGGTCGAAATTTTTAACATTTTCTAAAAATTATTACATATTAAAGTGAAGGAAAGTAGTCCAAGGTGGCACATCGCAATATTTATATCATATTTATTCCGGTCCGATAGGAAATGGACAATATTGGCCCACTACTCCAAAATTTGAATGATAATAACAGAAGTCAATATATATTTAAATAACCGAACATTGGCTGAGGGTATACCTCTGTCAGCAAAATCGACTGAACATTTTTTACTTTTTTTAATGTTATAGAAGCGTTATATTATAAAATATTGTTCAACTCTACTAATACATCCCGCACAATAGTTCAAAATTCCAGCCCTCTCTTCCTTGTCATTGGATAAATATTGAACCTAATGACATTTTATCTGCTGAAGTTATATGTCTGATAATAATTTTACCATGTAACTTGTTTCAATACTTTCTAAGACGAGGCCAGCACTACGTCAATATAGATAATTGAAAATGTAATAATTTTAAAAGGATGTTGATAATTGATATTTATATATTTATTGTTCCTGAAATGTTCGTCTCAGAGTTATTCCAATCCGATCTGATGAAATTTCCACACAGCTAGAATTTACGCTCAATAATTTCCCACAACGCAAAAATTTCCCAAATCTCTCAGATTATTTCCAGATGTTATAAAATATTTCCATGGGTAAAAAACCACCCATTTGGAATTTCTTAACCCGCAAAAAAATCCTTATCTGTCAACTTGTAAACATTTTACGCAATATCCTTTGTGTTCTGCAGAGTTTCAACTTCCAAGTTTAAGCCCAGTTTTTCATTTACATTTATCTGGAAGCTGTTGCATTCGTGAAGTTTTTTTCTTCTCTCTTTATTTCATGCACTTCATTCTGTGGCGTTGTTTTTTTTTTATTCAAACTTCGTACGAGTTTATTGGTCAAAAAAAATGTCCGCTTGACTTAAATCACGATTAGTAAACCAGTTTGGCTACTTGGCTGGTGGTTGACTGCCAGATATGAGTTCAGTTTGTTTTGTTTGGTCTTTGCCAAGCTGTTTTCAAAATAAAGAAAAACCACACCGATTATTTATTGCTGTTGTTGTTGTCGTTGTGGAATCGGAATTGCTTGTCTCTTCACCAATTTTCTGTGCTTCAAGTTTATTTTTAGCACGTGCCACTTTGAAGCAGCAACAAGAAACAACTCATTTTTGTTAATCTTAACAGCGATGACAATTTACGTGTTAATGACTAGTCTTTGTTGGATATGTTTCTTGTCAATTCGATTAACCGGTCGCCAGTTAAACTTTTTCAGCGAAACAGATACATTCGTGCCATCACATTCCAACCGCAGCGATAACTTACAAATTGTGTTGTAACTGTCGACAGAATACCATTTTAGCCTAGATGAGAGATAGCATCTGTTCTCATGAGATACTTCCCAAAAAAATATGGCAGATGTATGGGATAAGAACGATATTCAGATATGAGGTGTAGCGATAAATGGTTGTATGTGTTTTGCAGTTTTTAACAAAACTGTTGCTAAAATTTGGGTACTATTGTTATTCAGAGGATATGGAAGAGAGAGCTCTTACTTTTTCTGTTTATAAAAAAACAAGTTAAAAAGTACCAGTCGATTTTACCGACAGATATATACCCTCAGCCAATTTTCGATGATTTAAATATATTTTGACTTCTGTTATGATTATTCTAATTTTGACTGCCTATGGCGTAGGTTTCGGAGGTTCGGACCTAAATAAATACGATATAAATATTGCGACGTGCCAGGTTTGGACTATATCGACTACTTCCTTCACTTTGTATGAGATATGTGATAATTTTTAGAAAATGTTAAATGTGCGTGAGATATGTGCGAGATAAAAATTTTCGTATGGCAAAATTACAAGAAAATCGAACATTTATATCCAATTTTATGCGAAATCATAAATTCCATATTCAACTTAGGTTTCTGGTTGAGAAAAATGTTTAGATATAGCAAGTTGTAAAGAGTCGCTGACTTGTTTCGCAAGTTATTACAGCTAAAAGTATTGACAATTGTGATCCTCTGTGAGTGAGGTACCAAAAGGGGTTCTCACCTGTGTTAGCAAAAATTTTTGTATATCTCAAATTTGAAGAGAGTTGGATGCTTATCTCCCCTTCGTGGGGGAGGTACCAGATGGCCCGATCTCTACCATCTTTAGAACAGATCTTGTGTTGATTGCAATATTGAGATATGCCAAGTCCGAATGGAATCAAATGTTAATTTCGCGTTTTAAGAGCTTCATGGGTATTCAAAATTTTGATCCTTTGAGTGGGAGGTACCAGTGAGAAATGGAATGGTATATCCCATATTCACAGCAGACTTTGTGTTAGTAGAAATGATGGGATATGTAAAATATGGAGAGAACCGGATGCTTATTTCGGATTTTATCATTCATTTTGTTATTCAGATTGTTTACCCTTTTTGAGGGAGGAGTGGACCGATATATTCCTTTTTCACGCCAGACCTTGAGCTAATACAAAAATTGTGTAATTGGAAGAGAATCGGACTCTTACGTCAAATTATGTACGAGTTAATATTATTTAAAATTTTGACCCTTTGTGGAGGAGGTACTTGGTGGAGTGGACCGACAGTGTCCATTTTTGCACCTGTCCTAGAACTAATGCAAATATTAGGATTTGCAAAGTTGGAGCAAAATCGGATTATCCTTGCTCTTTCTGCGCAGAAAAAAAATATATATTTTTTTTTTTGAAAATTTCGATCTTTTGTGGGGGAGGTACCAGAAGGAGGATCAGACCGATATTGCCCATCTTAACATCAGACTTTGGGTTAATAAAAATATTGGGATGTGTGAAATTTGAAAACAGTCGGACTCTTACATCACATTTTATAAGCGTTATAATTTTTCAAAATTTTGGCCCTTTGTGGGGGAGGTACTTGATAGAGTGGGCCGATATTGTCCATTTCCGCACCTGATCTAGCACTGAAGAAAATATTAGGATTTGCAAAGTTGGAGCAAAATGTGGTTATCCTTTCTCCTTTTGTGCAGTAAAATATTTCGTTTGAATATTTCGACCTTTAGTGGGGGAGGTACCAGAAGGGGTGGACCGATATTGCCCATCTCCGAACTCGTTTGATAGTGAAGTTTCGAGAGTTATCGTAAGTACCAGCCAGACAGACGAAAGAACGGACACTCCTAGACCGTTTCAAAATGTCCTGAAAAAACTAAACAATCGGAATCCCTGCAAAAACTTGTGAAGGGTCATCTAATTTGTCAAAAAAAAATTGCGGCATAAAAAAACACATCGAAAAAATGTTTTAGTTTTATTAAAATTAAACCAGATGGTTATAAATAGAATTTTCCAGTCATTAATAGTTTCGCAACAGTCACAAATATCTAAAATTAATTATAATTTCCCTAAACTATTCACTTGTGCTGAACACAAAACTGTCATACGCTTTCTTGTAATTTGTCTTGAATATTAGAATTTATGATTTTCAAAACGAAACTAACATGAGGAGCAACTCTAAGTACCTCTCATGTCACGTCAGCCCAAATGGCAATAAAACAAAATAATATTAAAATATTGATTATGCACAAACAGCAAAGAAAAAACGCTTATCATCGACACTTGGACTTATCACAACAATAAACACACAGTTTCAAGCCTGTGAAGGACAGCTTTGCGCTGTCATTCCCTAGCATTTCGGTCGCCACAAAATTATAGGTTGGGTTTTGTTAACACTTGTTTATTTAATTCCGCTAAATATTCGGCTGTTCTTGACAGTATGGATGGGTTTCGATATTTTTGAAGGTTTTTTTGGAATTCGCAAAAAAAGCAATAACAAATAATTACGGCGAATAAGCGTTTAACCAATTATTATTGTGTTATTAAAGTGACAAAAAACATGACGTAGCCGGTGTACCGGTTTTATATTCACACACACACACATGCGGGTTTCGGCGTTTTTTTATTTTTTGGCAGCAAAGCCAAGGCCAAAAAGTACCTGCTCGCCAGTATTCACGCGAATTAACATACCAGATAAATCTCAATAACCCTATGGTGATTTAATTCCTTTACAGGCTGCCTACATGATCGTTGACGAAATGCACGAAGAACATCCAGAACTACTGCGAGATCAATACTGGGAATGTGTGGTGCCAAAAGACTTGCCCTACACCGTAGCTTCGGAACATTATCGCAAGGATGAGCCCAAAGGCTCGGCAGAGAATTACAAAGTTAAAAAAGAGGATGCCATGTATGCCAACATTGTGCCAGGTGGAGGCAAGCGCATACCCGACGATGTCTATGCCGACTATGTAAGTAAAATGTGTAGAATTAAACAAAAATGAATTAAAACATTTTTATTTTTAAAACGTACAGGAAAGTGTCGATACTCCCATGGTGGAAAGACGTAAAAATAATTGGCTGGTACGACAACTGTCACGCATGGGATCAATGCGTAGCCAATCGACCGCCTATTCATCGGGTGGAATGGCATTCAATCGAAATCGCTTGAACTCTGTGTACTCCAGCCCGGAATCTGGTCTGCCCATGACCATTGTCCAGCAACAACAGCAGCAACAAATCCAACAACAACAACAGCAGCAGCAAATGCAAGCCAAGCCGAGCCTCTATGATAAGTTTGTGCATCGGAAATCGTTGCGTGCCCAAAGGCAGCTAATCAAACAAAGTAAGTTCAAGTTTTTTTTAGTTTGTGGAGAATTTTTGTAAAAATCAAAAAATTCTTAGGTGGAAGAGGGATATTGATGTTATAATGTTTGTTGGTGGTCGGAAAAAATATTTTATGAATTATAATTCATTTCTATAAATATCTATAAAATTTTATAGTAATGCAAAGAGTATAGGCTTCTTAGATTTAATTAAAAAAAAAAAAACAGAAATCAAAATGACTTTGACAGGGAAATCAAGAAAAAATGGAGATGGGGCAAATTTTCATGAATAGTCCAAATAATCTAAAGTTACTGCAACAAAGGATAATGTCCTTAAAATACCGAACATTTTTTAATGTCCTTGTACAGTATTCACACATATGCGTCGATAAATATGGCAACATTTCAAAGGAGTATTGTGAGCCTGGATGGACCAAATACATTCCACAATCAGGATATAAAAAATGACATAAATCAATAAAGGAAGGTCAAATGTCTCGCGGGACACTATGCAGATTTAGTTGATACATCCGTGACAAATAAAAGTTTGTATTGGGAATTTATGTGAAGTAGATAATACCAACAATTATCGTTTTTGAATGCCTATTGTGGCTTTAGATCGGTAATAATTTAAAACCGAAAGGAAATAGTATGTGGAGAATTGGAGAGACATAAATCTCTCGATTTTGAGAACGTTTAAATTTAAACATATACTTTGAAGCTATAGCTATATCTGACCGGATTTTCACCACAATCCATATTACACTTTTGGTGTACAAAAAAAAGTGAAATCGGATGAAGAAATATAAGGGATCAATATCCAAATCTGAGCCGACCTCCATGCAATAAAAAAAAGTATTTCTATCCTGTCTCTGACAGATAACTCTGATTTTACGGTTTGTAATGGTTTTAAATACAAAATCGGATGAAATATATATGGAACCGATTTTCACAAATTTTGACACACTTTCTTCCTGGCTGAATGTTGTAATATATGTCAAATTCCATTCAATTCGGACTTATATTAAACATTTTGTTCACAAGCAAATCTGAGCCGATATGCAAACCTGAACCGATCCCGACAATATTTGGCAACGATATTTCGGAGCTGTATTTTATATATTTTTATACCCTACAACACTATGTGTTGGGGTATTATAAGTTTGATTGGGCCAAAAATTATGTAACACCACGAAATATTGATTTCCCATATAGGAAAGTATATATGGATCTTCCTAGCTCGCCGAGCTGAGTCGATCTAGCTATGTATGTCCGTCCGTCCGTCTGACCATGTTAATTTGTGATCACTCTACAGGTTGCAATAATGGCCCGATCTTCACGAAATTTAGAATGGAGGTGGGGCTATGGTCAGAATAGAACCCTATTTATTTTGGAGATGATCGCATAAGATTTAGGGGTCGAAATGGACCAAAAACTGAAAAAATTCCGGATTTTGCTGTTGCTCTACAGGTCGCAATTATGGACCAAACAAAGCGAAAGTTAGCATGGGGCTAGAGCTTAGGGCTGGGCAGAAACCTTCCAATTTTGATGTTCATCGGGTAATATCGGGTGAAATAGGCCACAACATTTGTGTTAAATAAAAGTCAAATTTTTCATTGAACCGCGAATATTTTTAATCCCGACGAAATCACAAATAGACGAACGGGTCAGTTCTGACCGTTACGTCGATGCCGATAGTAAATATATCGGATATATATAGCGAATATATACAATGTGTATATACAAAGGAAGGGGATGTTAGGTAGAATGCTTATATCTCAAGAATGGCCTGACCGATTTTGACCAATTTTGCCAATTCAGAATGCCCTCTTGGCATAAAAGCATAAAATCTAAAAAAAATGGCAAAAAAAATACCAGTTGTGATGTTAAAATAGATGTTGTAGTATTTTGTGACATTTTTTTTATTTTTCATATTTTTTATCGCATGCGATTTTTTCAATTTGTCTTATAGTACGTTTATATATATGAGGGTTAACCCACTGGGTTTGGATTTAAATTGTCATATCCATTACTTTTACTTCAAATAAATCCTGTCAAAGTAGGTTAACCCTACAAAAAGTTCTAACGTAAACATGGCATTATAATATTGGAGTGTATATTTTGTAATATTTTTTCAGCTGGGGTTATTATATACAGATTGCAATTATTGTCCAATCCTCATGAAAATTTTCATAAGTGCAGGGTTAGGCTCAAAAGGGCTAGGCCTATTGGTTTTAAAGGTGTCCGCAATATATTTGGGGGTTGAAATGGACCAACAATTCAAAATGTTCCTGATTTTGAAAGGTCACAAATTGAAACCAAAGGGCATGAAATTTCCCATGAAGTTAGAGTTTAGGACAGCGGGTTGAATGGACTATTACTTTTGTGTGAATAAATACCAGCATTACCTACGTGCGATATCCGAAATACACAAAGGCGAACTTTTGGTTTTTTTACGTGACATTATTTCAAAAGCGATATCTTCTGTAATTTGGATTTGGACATAAGGGGGCTTCTATCATATTGAAGTGTTGTAGGGTATTACATAGTCGGCCCCGCACGACTATAGCCTTTGCTTACTTGTTTTCGAATATCATTGTTATAGAGTGCTTATTAACATAACAAATCGGATGAACAATATATATGAGAGCCATAGCCATATCTCAACCGATTTTCACAAAACTTGACATATTTCCCTCTAGACTTAATTTGCTAGCATTTGGGATGTAAACTTTGACCGATTCTCACCACTTTCAAAAGACTTCGTCCTTGGGCCAAGCATATCGTTTTTGTGGAAAATTTGATCTCAATAAATAAAAAGCAGCTAGGTTCGGCAATACCACAAGTCAATTTAGAAACTATATTGCTTTTTTCCAGATCCTGCAAGAATGTGAAATTGTTATGACTATAACCCATTTTTCTTTTACGATATCGAAAAAAATTGCAAAACAAGTAGATTCTTGCAGGAGCTAGAATAGCAAATTTAGCATATGGCCAATAAAAAATACGAAAACATGGACATGCATAGATAATTTTCTGTCGTAATTTGTAGTACCCATTACGAACTTCAAGTATGAAATTTGAAAAAATTCCGGTGAATAATGTCGCTAAAATCATCAAAATACCGAACATTGGGAGGTACCGTTACATAGGGGCTATAGAAAGACGTGAGCCTGCATATGTAATTTTTTGTCGCAGGCTGTAGCACCTATTGGAATCTCCACATACGAAATTTGAAACAATTCCGGTGAATAATGTCGCTAATACCATCAACATACCGAATAAAAGGAGGTATCGTTACATGAGGGCTATACGAAGACGTGAACCTACACACGATATTTTTTGTCATAGGCTATAGTACCCATTACGAAATTTAAATACGAAAATTGTAACAATTCCGGTGAATAATGTCGATAAAATCGTTAAAATACGGAATATTGGGAGGACCGTTATATTTGGGCTATACAAAAACGTCTGCCGACATAGCCCATTTATGACCTTAACCTGCCTACTGGAAAGATGCACATGTGTGCACAATTTTAGTCTTCTATCTCAATTCGTTCGAAAGATGTCGTGATTAAAACAGACAGACGGACATCGCTAAATCGACTATGCCTTTTACGCTGACCCAGAACACATATACTTTGTAGGGTGTATCATGATTATTTCGAGGAGTTACAGACGGAATGACAAAATTGATATTCGCTTCATAGAATGGCGGAGGGTATAAAAACTATTTTGTTTGCGTATGCAGATTTTATTCATTTTGCATCCAAATATGAACCCAATCGGATCACATATTGAGTTGCATATAAATCCGAAGACTATCACATACAATTACATATTTTATGCATGCATATATCTTATATTATGGTTAAAAAGGCAAAAATACTTTGCATATACAGAATATATGAATTTTTCCTATTTTTTGTATCCAATATTTGCAGGGCATTTGTATTAGAATCGAAAAAATTGTTCATCATAGCTAAATTTGATCTCAATCTGATCAAATGCACTTTCATTTACATACATCTTATATTAAAGTTTAAAAAAATCGATATTTCATAGATATAATAGCAGGTTTATAGTTTACCGAATTTATCAACCCTGTTCCAGAACTTCAAGAATGTAATTTTCCCCTTATGATATCGGAGAAAATTACAAAACCAGTAGATTATTGCAGGGTCCAGAACAGAACATTAGTGGATTCAAGTCGCCAATTCCATTGCGTATGGGTCAAAGAAATTCTCGCAAAGGAAGTGGACCCGCCAATGTCAACACATACCGAATTCATGCTACTTCGTTTCCTTACATATAATTGTGAAATACCGAAAAAAATAAATTCTTCTTTTAGATATCAAGAAAATGTATTATTACCATGCCATCGACCACGAGGAAAATTGTATATTTGTTTCTTCTCTCCCTGTAGCCATGATATCTTAGTGTTCCGCAATGCTTATTCTATAATCCATCTGGCTTTTTTCCTTATTCAGTTGTTTTATTCCGCTCTATTCTTTTTTTTCATTTTTCTCTTATTTCGTACTTTATCTATGTAGATTCTCGTTTAAATGGTTTGAATGCCAACACTTCAAAATCCCGTCCTCGTATACCTACTCCTGATGTTACCAAGGAACCACCTAACATTGACAAAGATGTGAATGGTAATTTCTCCTTCCTTTCTTTCTCTTTTGCAACACCTGTTATCTGTAGCACTCGTTAAGAACATATTTATTCATTTATATTTTTATTTTTGATATCTGCACAATATTTATAGCCAACACCACCAACAATACCACAGCCACCACCAATAGCGCCAATACGGCTGTTCTAATGACACCACAATTGAGTACACAAACCACAATGTATCCCTATGCAAGCACCACCAATAATAATCTAGATGGTCAAGTTTTGGGCACTTTACTCCTATCACCCATCAAGGAAATGGATAGTTCATCATCGAATAATACTTTAATTCCAGGACATCCGCAGACGGCTGCATTGGCCCAGGCAGTATTGCCAAGCAATTTGGCTTCAAGTGAGTACCCATTTCTGGACATGATTGTCACTCGTTTAATAAATGTAATCTCTTTCTCTCTCTTTGTTAGATATACCTGTAACAACGAATATCACCACACTCTCATTCCCCTTTACGGTTACAACAAGTGCCACAGACACTACGGGCACTTTGAGCATCTTACCCATATCTTCCACACAAATACCAACGATTACCACCACAGCATCGGCCTTCGATTCGAATGAAGTTATTACCACCATACCATTGTCACTCTCCATACAGCGCTCACCATCTGCTGTGTCCATCACTGAATTGAATTTCAACGATAAACTGGAAAACAATGGTGGTACCGCTCTGCTCTCGCTGAAGCCATTGAACGGTGGCACCAACATCTCTCGCAACAACAGCTTCAATGGCAATTTAAATCTCAACATCAGCGACTCATATCTGTTGGAACGAAGGAACTCTATACGTTCCGAAGGTTCTCCCGATGTTAAGGATATAACCGATGGTGCCACGGTGTCTCAGCATGCAGTTAGTGGTGCTGCTGTTGGTGTTGGCACCACCACCACAAATACGGCCAGGGAAAAGATTTCCTCCATTGCAACATCGGCGCCATCAACATTAGCCAAACGTCCGCCGGAACAAAAGACTGGCGAGGTGTATGTATAAATTTAGTCCAATAATGATAGGATCCGTCCACCCACATCCTCCCTCCCGTAAACAGCTATCCTAAGTATGTCAATTTGTGTGTCAGAATTAGTGAAACAAAACAAAGGTTGTGAAACAAATGAAATCTTAAATTATTTTATTGAGCTATTTTATTAAACAATTTACATAAATCCAAACAATCCAATGTGTGTATGTATATGTTAGTCAAAATAGTCCTTAAAAAGGATTAATTTTATTTAGAAAGTAAATAATAAAATAGAGTAATCTAGTTTAAATATTGTTAACAATTAGCAGAAATAAATGAACTAAGTTTTATTTTCTTTCTTAATGGACACGTCATAACAATGTCAGTCTGTAGAACGCCGGCACCGTGCTTTAAAATGTCCAAGAATGCCTATATTTTATTTAGAATCTCGTTATTATTATTTGTATTGTATTTTTTTACAACTTGAATTGTTGTCTTTTGTAAATTGTCCTTGTATCATAATTTACTAAATTTGTATGTAAAATATTTACCATTTAAGTTGTATTTTTATACCCTACAACACTATGTGTTGGGGGTATTATAAGTTTGATTGGGCCAGAATTTATGTAACACCTCGAAATATTGGTTTCCCATATAGGAAAGTATATATGGATCTTCCTAGCTCGCCGAGCTGAGTCGATCTAGCTATGTATGTCCGTCCGTCCGTCTGTCCGTCTGTCCGTCTGTCCATGTTAATTTGTAATCACTCTACAGGTCGCAATTATGGCCCGATCTTCACGAAATTTAGAATGGAGGTGGGGCTAGGGTCAGAATAGAACCCTATTTCTTTTGGAGATGATTGCATAATATTTAGGGGTTGAAATGGACCAAAAACTGAAAAAATTCCTGATTTTGAAGTTGCTGTACAGGTCGCAATTATAGGCCAATCGACGCGGAATTTCGCATGTAGCTAGAGTTTAGGGCGTGGAAGAAGCCTACTAATTTGGGTGACCATCGGATAATATTTAGCGGGTAAAATAGACCATATCTTTTGTGTTGAAAAAATTCAAAATTTTTCATTAAACCGCGAATATTTTAAATCCCGGCGAAATCATAAAGCCATCACAAGGTTACTTCTGACCTTTGTATTGATGTTGACATCCAACAAATCGGATATTTAGCAAAATAGGTGCGATATATATGTCTATCAAAGAAGATATGCTTGAAAGATATCTTATATGTCGAGAACGGCTGAACTGATTTCGACAGTTCTCATTAATTCAGAATGGCCTCTTGGCAGGAAAGAAAAAACATCTAAAAAAATCGCATAAAAATATCTCTGTAAAGATGAAAATATTGATTTTGTAAAATTTTCTCATATTTTTTCAATTTTGTCATATTTTTTGGCATTTTTTCATTTTGAATTAAACATTTGGTAATATTTCTACAGCTAACAAAACTAAGTAGTTAGGATATCAGGATATCATATACAGATCGCATTTATGACCCGATCCTTACGAAATTTTGCATGGGGATAAACTGAGGGTCAGAATAGAAGCCTACTCTTTTTGGAGATGATCGCCATATATTTAGGGGTTGAAATGGACGAAAAAACTGCAAAATTGTCAGCAGGTCGTAATTATCGCCCGATTCTCACGCATTTCAATGGGGCTTACCGGACATTGCAAAAGCCAAGCAGTGTTGGATAGCCATCCAAAAATATTCAATGTGTGAAATAGTTTGCCAACTTTTGTAGACAAAATACGAAAATATCCATTCGAGTGACTTTTTGGAGAATTCACAAATACAGGAAAGACGCACTTCTGACTATTTCGTTAAGGCTGATTTCGTGGAAGAATATAGTCAAATGTCTGTATCTCATATAGATGCGTTTTAGTCAAAAACCAATAATAAGTGTTAATCTTGTGCCACTTCTGAGAGATTATAGGTCTTTGGGAAATATTGGTTCCAGATCTAGGAAGACCATGTACGTGCAATATCTACCTATAAATTGGAAATGAGCAAATTAGTTCAAGTTTCTATTATTCGAAAATTAGAGAACGAAACCTGATGGTTTACTTTTATTATTTGTCACAATATCTTGTGGAATTCTTTCGAGTATCTGGCCTATATAAACTGTATCATATATTATAGTGTTGTAGGGTATTCAACTGTCGGCCCCGCTCGACTGTAGCCTTTGCTTACTTGTTTTATATATTTAAGAATAAAGATTTGTTTGCCTCGTAAACTAAGAAGTGTTCGCTTTTGAAGTGTTTTTTGGTTCTAGGCTTTCCTAAATAGTTGTTAAGTTAAAAAACTGGGTAAAGAGTACTTAAAACTAAAATGTTCTAAAAAGTAAGTATTAGTACCACTCTGGTATGCAGAAGTAAAATGAAAATAGTTTTTAGGAAATTCGTATTAAATAGAATTGAAAAATATTTAAAAGTACATTATTACATGGTAAAAAATAATTATAAAGAGTTATAAGTTTTTTTACAGCTTTTTTTTGCCAAATAATTAAATATTTTTTAATTCTATTTAATACGAATTTCCTAAAACCTATTTCATTTATTTATGTTTGACCGGATAGAAATTTTTTTGGGAAATTATTCTTAAGTATCTGATACATATTAATATGTGCCAAATATTCATATGAGGAAAACGGAATCGAAATATTAGCCTGCAATTTGATTTGTGGGCAATCCTGATTTGCAGGGTTAAAATTAAGTTCGGAGGTTGGTATTCATATTGAAAAGATACGGAAAGTAGTAAAATGGTACTACATACTTGTTAATGATATAGATCAATCAGAAAGATCTAGGGGTTGATATGCTGAAAGAAAACAAATAAAAAAGCACCTAAGCTCGGCCGGGCTGAACTTTTCATACCCTCCACCATTTGAAAGAAACTTGAAAATTAAAAAAAATTGTCAAAAAATACCGTTTAAACGAAAACCCTTATATGAGGGATATACGAAGAAGAAGACCTGCAAAAGTAATTTTTCTAATTGGCTGCAGTACCGGTTGCGAACTTCAAATATGAAATGTAAAACAATTCCGGTGGTTAATGTCTCTTAAATCATCAAAATACCGAATATAGGTTATATGGGAGACATACGAATACCTGGATCTGTATATGCAATTTTCTGTCATAGTTTGTAGTACCCATTAGGAAAATAAAATATGAAAATTTAAAATATTCCGGTGAATAAAGTCACTTAAACCCTCAAAATACCAAATATAGGGAGGTACCTTTATATGTGACCCATACGAAGACATGGTCCTGCAAAGGCAATTTTGGGTCACACAAAGTTATCAAAATACCGAATATAAAGAGTTAGCGTTATAGGGGGCTATACGAAGACGTGGACCTGTATTAGCCATTTTCCATCAAAGAACCTCAAATTACAAATTTTAAACATTTCCCGTCAAAAATGTCGCATAAACCATCAAAATACCGATTATAGGGAGGTGCCGTTATATGGGGGCTATATCTGGACTTGCATATGCAATTTTCGGTAATACACTGTATTACCTAATAGAAATTTCAAATACAAAATTCGTGAATAATGTCGCTAAAATCATCAGCAAAAAATACACTTATATTGGGGGCTATATCAAAACGTTAGCATATATAGCCCATTTTCAATACCAAAAGTCCGGCAGACCTAACACACATCTGAGTAAAATTTTATCAACCTGCTTCATTTTGTTCGAAAGCTTGAGTGATTTCCAGAGACGGGCAGACGAACGGAGAGAAAGACAGACATACGGACGGACGGACATCCATTAATCGACATAGAATTTTATGGTGATCAAAAATGTATATTTCGAGGTGTTACAAACGGAATGACAAACTTAATATACCCTCCATACAAAATATACCCTCGGGTGTAAAAACATAGGTTTTTAGAATTCGTGCTGAACAGATGCGAAAGTGCTAAAAGAAAATAAATATCTTACCTTTGGTATAGATCGATCGGGACGAGCTTGAACTTTGCTTGTTGGCTTGTCGATTTCCAAAAAATTGTGTAAAAAGCGCATACTGGATATTATATTGATATGGGGGAAACGGGATGACGCATAAATCTGAAATTTGTTACGAGATCGCACTTTTTGCCATGGCTTGGATAAAACATAAATGGACATTGGTACTAATAACAGCGTTTTGGAACATCCGTACCAAAAGTGTGCGTGTTTTTAGAAACTATGTAGTACACAAAGGTTACTAAAGTACCAAATATGGTACTATAAGTAATGGGAGCAGGACCTCTGAATATATGTATTTGCCTTTGTCTATAAAAAATACAATTGACTACAAAATTGTCAATCAATAACTGATACTGAAGGATATAACAGTTCCATGCTGGTATAAAAAACTACTCTGATGAGAACGAAAGAGAGAGAACGAAAAAAAAAATTTTAATACAATTCCGAACAGCAATATTCAATTAAAACTCGGCACGCTCATAAAATTCTGTGTTGACAAATAATATATGCTAATTTAGATCCACGAACGTTTTCATATTTTTCTGCATATTTATCGATTGGCTATTACAAAATCAAACAAAGTGGCAGGCATTCGAACATTTGCAAAAGCCGAAAGGGGCGATCGAAACATTTATGACAAACCCTGGGTCAATTTGTCATTTGAACTATAATGTGAAAAATCAAAGTTAATCGAATGACACTCGACAATATCTGATATGGAGCGTTCATTGGGCGCCAAATATGTAGAAGCTGTGCCGCCATAAGAAGCAATTTCTCTTAACTGACTCTCATTCTCTTTAGTGTAGAGACGATTGGAGCTCCAATTTAGAAATGAATGCAAATCAATTAAAACCGTTTCCAAATGTGCGATGTGCTCGAAGACAATTGCCAGATACTTGGTTGGTTGGGTTGGTATGTCATCATTTAAACTTGATCAAGTCGAGATCTGCTCTCAGTTGGTGGTTGAGTGTCGTGTCGTGAAAAACTTAAATCGAAAATATATTCTGGACTAAGAAAAATTCTATTAAAAAAAGATTTGGAAAACAAGGATATGCGAGGAGTATAATTCAATTGCAACGTTGTTCTAAACAAAGAATCCTTGAAGTAAATATTTGAAATTGTTGTTATTCAAATAAGGATTATAAATGTGAAAAAACAAATGTGAAATAATTTGAAAAATGTTGGAATAAATCATCATAATAATATTTATTCTTTCATGCAACTATTTCTAACGACTTCTAAATATTGATTGTGCTCTTCACACTTTTAAGGAATATACAAAAAATTTTTTAAACTAAATAAATGTTGAAAAAATCTATCTGTAATTAAGAGTTTTATTGAAAGCCAAATTATCTCATAGTGATAACCCATAAAAAGGATAACTGAAAAATATAACCTTGCAAAAATGCTTAAACTAAGTAATGTATAGAGCTGTTTGTAAAAGACAATTGCCCAGAGTTAATCGAATCCTTGTGTTCACAATTCGAATTTTTGAGTAATCTTGAAAATTACCCTCTAATTGTGATTTAAAAAAAGTATATTTTTAATATTCCAGACGTTATGAAAAAAATATTTCTCCTAAGTAAAAATTAAATGTCATTGATCTCAAAGGTCAAGACGAACTGATGCTCGGCCAATAACAAACTGTTCTATGACAAACGCCGACTGTATAAATGTCTAGTCACAACTCTCACTGTATTCCTCAAATAAGTCATTTATGGCCATAAAAGTTTAATTAAATTAACCCCCCATCGAAGTGGTGTGAGTGAATAAATGGTTGGTTATTTTTAATAACCATTTAAAAGTTATGAAATTGAAATACAATTTGAAAAAAAATAAAAATAAAACAAGCCGACATTCTTACATTCAATATAAATGGGAAAGCACCAGGATTCGTGTCTTCAATGACATTTTTGCGAGTGGGCCTTTATAAGGCCAATACATTTTTATTGAATATTGGAGGTGTAGTCGAGATTCAAGTCAAATATGTGATATTTCGGGGTATTCATATCAGATTATTCATGGCATATTTTATATCAGATTTATATCAGGTGTGGATGCTATTGGTCCCCTCCTATTTGTCCCTCCTCCCAAAAGGTCAATAACTTGAATTATAATAAATCTCATCATGTGCTAAACCAATATCCTATTTTCAATATTAAGTTGTTTGTGAAAATGGAATTACAAATTCACATTTTCTGGTTCCTGTCTATAAAATTTTCCATTATTAAACCCAACCAATATTAGCCATAATTTTTACATTTTTGTTATAGATTTTTTTGAATGAAAGCAAAAAGTTTCGGAAGTAGCATCAAACTTTAGAATAAGTTTAGATTTGTTCGAATTTGTCACATTTAGCACGAATTATGGCCTTCAAACGGCCAATGAAACCGTCAAACGCTGCCCGAATGTTGCTCTGAAGTATTTTGGCCCATTCCCGGCGAAGCGCTTGCTTGAGGTGATCGACGCTTTGGTATTTTTTAGTGCCAACCTTGCTTTCCAAAATACTCCAGACATAATAGTCCAACGGATTGGTATTCGGAGATTCTGGTGGCCATTGTGCGCTGGTAATGAAGCGAAGAACCTCATTTTGTAACTATTCTTGGGTGGCTCGTGCTGAGTCCTATTGGAATGACCAAAGTCTGCGGCCAAAATGTTTGGGTGCCCAAGGCTTTAATACTCCCTCCAAAATATTTTAGCGATATTATTCGGCATTTATTCTGATGCCACGATCGATTAATACGAGCGGAGAGCGACCATCGGCTGTTATGGCGGCCCACACCATCACCATGGCAGGCGCTTGAGTTCTGGTGGCCAACCGAAGGTGCACATTTTCAGCTAACCTCTTTGGCAAGTAAACACGATCATTTTGGTTGTTTACAAACTTTCGGACAACGAATGTTTTCTCATCGGAGAAAGCCAAATTCGGCAGTTCGCCACTTTCAGCCAAGCGAAGCAACTATTTAGCTCTATTTTCTTTCAGTTGCGGTTTAAGTTCTTGCACTTTTTGGAATTTCAATGGCTTTACTCCGAGCTCATTTTTCAATATTTGCCAAATGCAATATGTTCAGCCATTTTTCGGCCACTGCGACGTGGGTTTTGATCAGATGTTGCTGTTTTCTTCCGTCCAATTCCTTGACGTCGGGCTACGCTACCAGTATCACGGTAACGAACGATGGTACAAGACACAAAAGATTTATTCAGATTTAAATGTTGGAGTGCTCTAACGAAAGCCACTTGTGGTTTTCCAGCCAAATTTAAAGAAATCACACTATAACGTTTGAATTCCATCACGAATAACTTTTCTTTCTGGAAAATTCTCTCCAAAATCCTTTTGTACGCTTGTAAACAATATAATGAGATGTCACTGGAATAATTTTAACAGCTGTCGGACGAGTGGCTTAGAAATGACAGCAGTCTGAAGTTGGTTGCAGTTTTTTTCATCTCACCCTGTATTGGCGTTTTTGTACCTCCAAAACAAAAGGTTACAATTAAATAAGAAATCTTATCCATTATTAGGCTAGGTGTGAGAAATTAAAATTTCCTGGTCCCTCCCTTACAATTGGTCAATTTTTGAAAAGAATCATAAATGATGAAATCAGTCAAATTTTGCACATCACAAAATTGGATAAAGTGGGATCATGGAATATACATAGGTTGTCACAAATTACTCAAATTTGGAAAAATTTCGAATAATTTTACAAAATTCCATTCAATCTTTTGTAAGGTCTTTCTCGGAAAAATCGTGCATTTTGCAATGACTTCATGAAAATAAAAGATATTTTTTTTCAAGAATTTCACGGAAAAAATCGTAGTCTTGATATTTTTTTAAATACTTAATGGGCAAGAAAGGTGGTTATTTTATTTTAAATAACTTGTTTATTTTCGTTTTATTTATTTCTTTTTTTTTTTTTGTTCTGTTTTCCTTCTTTGTTTTGGATAAGTTTTTTAATTTAGGCTCCTGTTTTCGTTATTGTGTCAATATAACTTATATCAAGGTGATTTGGAATATGTATATGCGAATTATACTCAATCAATATACGTTTTTGCACGGATTTATCTTTATGGTTTTTAGTGGTGATACATTGCTAAAGTGAGGAAAACAGAGCTCAAAACAAAGACAACCACCAGTATTGGTGGTGAAATGTGAGGGAGTGTGTAAAACGATAGAGGACAAATGTGACTAACAATTGTCAAAGTGATAAAAGTTAGAAACTGTTTTTTGAAAAATATGAAAGGTTTACCTTTTTTTAAAAAAACAGTCGCTGGATCATGAGCTTTTGACATGTATTTTATGTACGAAACTTATATGAAAAAAGAAGAAAATATACAATTATTTATTTATTTAATATTATAATTTTTTCTTCTTGATGCCGATGCTTTTTGTTTCTAAAAAAAATTCATTGTAATTTTTTTGCGTAATCTGATTTCTAATCTTCCACATTAGCTCCATCATGGATCGTGAGGATTCATCAATATCCAAATCCTCCTTGGACATGCCCATGGCTGAGGGTCTGGAACCAACCAAACCTGTTGGATTTTTCACACTGTTTCGTTTCTCGACAAAATGCGAAATATTCCTACTCTTCATTGGATTTATAATGTCCGCCATAAAGGCATTAACGCTGCCAGCTGTGGTGATCATCTACAGTGAGTTTACCGCCATGTTGGTGGATCGAACATATCGTATTGGAACCAGCTCCAAGACTTATGCTTTGCCACTATTCGGTGGTGGAAAAACACTGTGAGTGAACAAATATTTTTTCAGTCTTTGGATCAAAATTGCAAACAAATCTATTCAATTTCAGTACCAATGCCTCGGTGGAGACGAACAACGAAGAATTATACTACGATTCCATATCCTATGGCATTCTACTTACACTAGCCTCTGTGGTCATGCTGATATCGGGTATATTTTCGGTTGATATCTTCAATATTGTGGCACTGCGCCAGGTAACACGCATGCGCATGAAGTTGTTCCAGTCGGTAATGAGACAGGATATTGGCTGGCATGACTTAGCATCGAAACAAAATTTTGCACAAAATATGACTGAGTGAGTTAAGGAAAAAAGTTGTTCAATTTTACTGGGCTACTCAGCTAATATTAAACATATCACATTGATTATATCCTTTTTAGTGACGTGGAAAAGATCCGAGATGGTATATCCGAAAAGGTGGGACATTTTCTTTATCTCATAATCGGATTTGTCATTACGGTTGGCATATCATTTGGTTATGGTTGGAAGTTGACTTTGGCGGTTAGTGTCTACATTCCCATTGTCATTGTTTTGAACTATTTTGTGGCCAAGGTAGGATGCCGAATTTGGAATAGTGTATACAACACCTTAAAAACCGATTAATTTCAGTTCCAAAGTAAACTAACCACCAAGGAACAGGAATCCTATGCAAGTGCTGGTAATTTGGTTGAAGAGGTCCTAAATGGCATACGCACGGTGGTGTCTTTTGGAGGCGAAGATAAGGAGTCAAATCGCTATGATAATTTCTTAGTGCCAGCACGAAAGGCCAGCCAGAGGAAGGGCGCCTTCTCTGGTTTCAGTGATGGTGTTTTGAAAAGCATGCTGTTCCTTTCGTGTGCCGGAGCTTTTTGGTATGGTGTAAATTTGATTCTAGATGATCGTGATGTTGAGGACAAGGAATACACCCCAGCCATTTTGATGATTGTAAGTGTTAATTCTGTAATCCTAAAGCCTTTAGTAATGACCCTTTAATGTTAAAAGCCCCTTCAGTAATACTACAGCTTTATGAAATGCATATTTTTCCATTTCCCTTCATAGGCCTTTTTTGGTATCATCATTGGTGCTGATAACATTGCCCGTACATCGCCATTTCTGGAATCATTTTCCATGGCTCGTGGCTGTGCGGCCACAATTTTTAAAGTCATCGATGCTCAGTCGAAAATCGATCCCATGTCAACAGATGGCAAACTGCTTAACTATGGACTGCGAGGAGATGTTGAATTGGTCGATGTTTTCTTCCGCTATCCATCACGTCCAGATGTGATTGTCCATCGTGGCTTGAGTATTAAAATAAAATCAGGTACAACGGTGGCATTGGTGGGTTCGTCAGGGTGTGGTAAATCTACTGTCATTCAATTGATGCAGAGATTTTATGATCCTGTCTTCGGCTCCATTCTGCTGGATGACTTGGACATACGCAAATATAATATCCAGTGGTTGCGTTCCAATATGGCAGTTGTAGGCCAAGAGCCAGTACTGTTCAGGGGAACTATAGGTACATAATATTTTTTTTTTATTTAAGTACCCATTTTCATTTTTTTGCATTCCTTGTTTTAGCCGAAAATATAAGCTACGGTAAACCAAAGGCCACACAAAAAGAAATCGAAGAGGCTGCCAAAGCAGCTGGAGTTCACGAATTCATATCAAAACTTCCCGATGTAAGTTGTCAACTTCCACGATTCTTTTAAATGTTCTAATAAAATTTCCAAACCTGTCAGAGTTATAAAACCGTTATTGGCGAGCGCGGATCACAATTATCCGGTGGCCAGAAACAGAGAATTGCCATTGCTCGAGCTCTCATACAAAATCCTAAGATTTTATTGCTGGATGAGGCCACATCTGCCTTGGATTACCAATCGGAAAAGTTGGTTCAAGAAGCCTTAGATATGGCCTCAAAGGGTCGCACCACAATTGTAGTCTCACATCGTTTGTCAGCCATACGCGGAGCAGATAAAATAGTTTTCATACACGAGGGTAAGGTAATTGAGGAGGGTTCGCATGATGATTTAATCGCCTTGGAAGGAGCCTATTATAATATGGTAAAGGCTGGTGAAATAAATGCCCCCGAACCGGAAAACATGGAAGATATTGATGAAGCGAAAAGTAAGTTTAAGCCAAGGGATATTAATATTAGCTACCACAAGGATAACATTTTTCTGTCCACAGGAAATAGCTTGGCCCTTTATGAAAAGTCCTTTGAAACGAATCCCGTGAACCTGGATAAGAACTACAAAAATAGTTTTCAAATAGAAGAAACTGATTTGAGAGGTCATACCGTTTTAACAGAGGCAACCACCCCCGATGAGGATCCAGAATCAAAACCCAATTTCTTCCAAACATTTGGCCGTATTTTGAAAATAGCTCGTCCCGAATGGTGTTACATTGTTATGGGCTCCATTTGTGCCATTGGTTTTGGTTTTACCTATCCGGGATTTTCAATTGCTTTTGGTGAATTTTATGCCGCCTTGGCTGAAGAAGATCCCCAAGTGGCATTGGATCGCACAGCCATCTTGGCGATAAGCTGTCTGGTGATTGGAGTACTCACAGGTCTGGCATGTTTCCTGCAAACGTATCTCTTCAATTACGCTGGAGTTTGGTTAACAACGCGAGTGCGTTCAATAACCTTCAAGGCCATTATGCGCCAGGAGATGGCTTGGTTCGATAAGGATACCAACAGTGTGGGAGCATTATCGGCCCGGTTATCAGGAGATGCGGCCGGAGTTCAAGGAGCCATTGGCTATCCCCTGAGTGGTATCATACAGGCATTCTCAAACTTTGTGGTGGGCTTGACATTGTCTTTTTATTATTCCTGGAAATTGGCCTTGCTGTGTCTAAGTACATGTCCCATCATTGTGGGTTCCGTGATCTTTGAAGCCAAGTGAGTTTCTATTACATTTTAGTTGAGAACAGGTGTTTATATCTGAAAACCTTTTGCAATTACAGATTCATGACCACATCAATGATAAGAGAAAAACTGGTGTTGGAGGAGGCTTGTCGCATTGCCACCGAAGCTATTGCGAACATACGAACGGTGGCTGGATTACGTCGAGAGCAGCAACTTATTGACAGATACAATCGGGAAATACAAAATGTGGAAAAGCTCATTAGACAAAAGCTCAAGTATCGGGGCATAATAAATGCCACCGGCCAGGCCTTTCTATTCTTTGCCTATGCTGTGGCCCTTTGCTATGGGGGTGTGTTGGTATCGGAGGGGAAGATTCCCTTCCAGGATATCATTAAGTGAGTGAATAAACAAATATAACTGATTTGAAAAAATATCCTAACGACTCTACTATAATTGGATAAATGTCTAAATCTTTCCGATAAAAAATGTCGATTATTCATAGAAACCTATTTTCTTTCGATTATTTATAGGGTCTCCGAAACTTTACTCTATGGATCTATGATGTTGGCTCAATCTTTGGCATTTGCTCCGGCATTTACGGCTGCCCTGGTTGCGGGCCACCGTTTATTCCAAATATTGGATCGTCAGCCTAAAATCACCAGTGCCGTTGTACCAGCAAAGAACACATTTGCAAAGCAACTGAATCTTTTCGAAGGAATTCGTTATCGTGACCTAGAATTCCGCTATCCGACTCGCTTGAATGTTAAAATTCTAAATGGCTTTAATCTGGAAGTGTTGCAGGGTAAAACCGTAGCTCTGGTCGGTCATTCCGGTTGTGGCAAGTCAACATGCATACAATTGTTGCAACGTTATTACGATCCGGACAATGGAACAATTGTAAGTATTTCATAACTAAATCGATGTGAGATAAATGTACCCATCATATATTTTGCAGCACATCAACAATGATGACATCCACACCGATCTGACCTTGGAAAATCTACGCAGCAAAATTGGCATTGTGTCACAAGAGCCTTCATTGTTTGAACGCACTATTGCTGAGAATATTGCCTATGGCGATAATTCTCGACAGGTTACCATGCCTGAGATAATAGCAGCAGCCAAAAGTGCCAATGCGCATTCCTTTATTATGGGTCTGCCAAATGGTTATGACACTAGAATGGGGGCTCGTGGTACCCAGCTATCAGGTGGACAAAAACAACGAATTGCCATTGCTCGTGCCTTGGTACGCAATCCAAAGGTACTGCTCCTCGACGAGGCAACTTCAGCCTTAGATTTGCAAAGTGAACAGCTGGTCCAGCAGGCTTTGGATGTGGCCTGTGCCGGTCGCACGTGTATTGTTATTGCCCATAGATTGTCCACCGTACAAAATGCCGATTTGATTTGTGTCGTTCAAAATGGACGCATCGCCGAGCAGGGAACACATCATCAGCTGATGGCCAAAGATGGTCTTTATGCCAAACTCCATAAGACTCAAAAGGAACATTAAATGTTTTTTATGAATAATTGTTATACCTACATTCTTTGTTAATGTTTTTTTTTACTTTTAAAACAAAAATATGTTAAGTTCTAATATCGTATCGTATTTTAAAGAAACCATAAATTTTCATTATTTTTAATGCACAAAATGAACGACATAATGATGCACTTCTTCTGGAAGCATAGAAAATGTTTAAACTAATCCATCGAAATCTAGTTAATCTTCTACACTTCATTATTACTGTTAGTATTGAGATTTCAAATTGATAACAATCAAAATATTGTATGTTGTATACATCAAGTCTGAACGAATTGTTTCCTGTCCATTATTACATTGTATTACAAATAAACCAATCCTTCTTTTTGGTTTGCCCAATAAATATTGCTACAATTTCAAGATACTATAGTTAGAAATTGTTTTATTTACAAATTACCTCACCGCCATATATCAAACCAAAAAGTATATTTTGTTAATTCATGATAAGATCGCAAGATAGTAGTTTTTACATATACCATGCCAGATTTCCGTATTGACGTCATAAAATAAAAAAGAGGATCGAATAAGATGACTGAAAAGGAATTGTCATTAAAATGCTTGTATCTTTATCGACCAAAGAGAAGGAGAGTGAGAAAGAGAGAGAGATCGTAATGGACCGAAATTTTATCTACTAAACTGGCCATCAATACTATGAAGAACACAAAAAAAATATCCGGAGCCTGTAACAGTCTCACTTATGAAGACATCAACTATCATTAAGTCTGTCCTTGCCAAGGACTCACTCAAGCAACGATGGAATGGAGTCCACATTCCTATATTCTTTACTTTATAGAAGAATGAAATAATTAACACCATTACTCATGGACCTATCTACGACCAGGCGAAACGGCTAAATATGGAACCTGAAAATTTACAACGAGGTCCACTGATGAATTTCTGAAAATGAGAATAATACAAACTTGTTAAATAAGAAGTTGAAAAATATCAATAGGTTTTGCCATAAATATACCCATAGACCATGTCCATTTATAAATCTGATATGGACCATTTTTTATATGACATATATGAATATATTTTTTTGTTGAGCTTTTGTGGGGGATGTACTAGAACCGATATTCTCATATTTACATTAAATCTTTGATTGAAAGAAATATTGAGATACACCTATGAAAATAAGTATAAAAACAGTAATTTTGGCCGGGCCGAACTTTAAATACCCTCCACTATTTGGAACAAATTTAGATATTTTCAAAAATTAATAAAAGCCGTGAAAAATTCTGTATAATTCCTAAAAATACCGAATATAGCCTAAAACTACCGAAATTTCGATCTATATGAAGACGTGGACCTTCATAGGCAACTTTGGTCATAAGCCATTACAATATTCAAATACTAAACTTGAAAAAAATCCGATGAATAATGTAGCTAAAATCTTCAAAATAATGAATATCGAGGGTACCGTTATATCGGATTATGCGAAGACCTAGACCGGTATAGACACTCTCTTGTCACAGGCTGTAGTACCCATTAGGATCTTCAAATACTAACTTTCAAACAATTTCGGTAAATATTGTACCTAAAATCATCAAAACACCGAATATAGAGATATATGGGCTCTATACGAAGACCTGGACCTGTATAGACAATTTTCTGTCATAGACTGTAGTCCCATTACGAACTCTAAATACAAAATTGGCAGCTACCATTATATGGAGGCTATACGAAGGCGCAGACCTGCATACGCGATTTTTTGTCATAGACTGCAGTACCCATTACGAATTCTTAATACGATCTAAGTCAAAATATGGAACATCGGTGGGTACTGTTGTATGGGGAATATACGATATCGTAGACCGATATAGCTCATCGCTGAACTTGACCTGCCTGCACACAAAAGACTTATCTGTGCAAATTTGTATCTTCCTATCTTAATTCGGTTAGACTCTAGCGTAGGGCTAAATCGTCTTAGAATTTTACGCTGATCAAGAATATACTTTGTTATGTCTAAAATTATTATCTCGATGAGATACTATGTATGGTGGAATGTATAAAAATTAGATTAGATAATTCAACATTTTGACCCTTTTTGTGAGAGGTACCCTAGGAGTGCTCCGCTTTATCCCATCATCCCACTAGGCCTTGTGTTTGAAGATGTATTTGGATGTACGAAGTTTGAAAATAATCAAATGCTTATTTATTCCAAAATTTCAAAATTTTCACCCTTTGTGATGAAGGTACCAGAAGGACTAGACCTATATTGTCCATCTCCCAAATCTATCTAAGTTTAATAATAATAATAAAATTTACGATGTTTGGACCTAATCGGATCTTAGGTAAGGTTAAAGGATGCGTGGTTGTTTGAACCACTACTTCACTCGATGACCTGCTGGTCTATTGTGTCCATCCTATATGGGAAAAATTTAAGGTAGAATAAAGGGGGAAATAAGAAAAAAGAGAAGAAAGGGGAGAAGGGAAGAATTAGAAGATAGAAAGGAAGTAATTTGTGAGAGTATATCCAGGTTGTAATCAGTGTGTTGTTTTTAGCCATTTTAATCTTCTGGCTAATTGAAGCCCAATTGTTGGCTCGGTTCCAGAGAAAGAGGACAAGTTGGACAGAATTTGCATAACCAGTAGCCTCTGTCTGGTCACAAAAAAGAGCTAGAGCTAGTAAGTGCTCCACCGTCTCGGTTTCGTCCTAACAAAGCCTGCAGTATTCGGTGTCGGATCTTGCTTCAAGAGTTATCGTGGCCACCAGTCAGCCAGATTCCCGGATGGACAGACTTCATATGTCCCGAAACGGATTTACAACCGTTATTTCGATGACGCACGTTTTGGCCGCATCAAATGATATATATGCCCTCTGTAGCCATATGGTTGTTATAATAATAGTAAAAAATTTACATGAGGGTCACACCTAATGTTTCTGAGATAATTTTTTTTTATCTTCTACCTTAAGGGGACGAAAAGAGGTACGGCTGTTACGGTACGGTTGTTATTGATTGATCGATTAGAAGTAGATTTTGAAAATGCTGCATGTGGTCACTTCTCACGTAAATGGGTGAGTTTGGGTGAGGTTTTTCGATTAGGAAGGTTAGCACTGTTGGTAATTGAAGTGACTTGTACAAACGCCTAAGAAATGTTATGAGGCTATAGAAACACTATAAGTATTGAATTTCAAATATTTGGCATACGTGGTTCTTCCTTGAAAATAACAATTCCATCATGTTCACACTTTTTTATTTCGAACACGTGACAATTACCTACCACAAGGAATATTTATAAATAACACCACTCAAAGTTGAGAGACACCTCTTTTGGTTTAGTACATACGTACGTACGCGCATATTTCCGCTTATCAATAGCAATTAAACAATTGTTGATTTAAACGATAACAAGGCGAAAAGCTTTCTTTTAACGATAATGAATATGTAACATAATGAAATTAGTGTTTGCCAATTGTATCAGCTACTGGATCTCCACAAAAAAGAAAAAAATTGACAAGGTCTCTTCAAACATTCATTTGTTAATTTAATCAATTAGATGAAATAACTTACATATGCATATTTGTATGTACGTCCGTACGCACATAACTCATAAATTGTTTCTAATTTAATTTCAGTACAATCTGGCAAATATTTCCCATAACTTAGGCCAAATACGAGAGAAATTCGATATTTGTCACTTTCCAGATCAATTGTTTTTTAGCCATGTCATGCTGACGTTGCTACGTCGAACGTTTTGAACTATTCCAATTGATTTGGTTCTTCCCTATGTAGCCTTAGTTAGATATGTTCTCAGAGGCTTTGGCAATAGTTTCTAAACGAAAATCAGTTTCAATTAATAATATAGAAATCAATGTTCTGTTTTGCGGTTAAAGTATCACGACACAGAAAGAATTTTTTGTTTGAAATTTCTAAGGAGAAAAATGAATTATTTTCTGCACAAAATGTTATTGTTTCTTCGAAAAATGTACCTTCAACCAATGACAAAACCAGTAAGGTAGTTTAACTTCAAAGGAACATAAAAAAGGACACCTTGGTACTAAAGTCTTAAGGTGTGAGTACATAAGCAGCTAGGCATATTTATGTCAAATTATAAGGAAAAAACGGCAGGATTTGAATGCTGCCAGAGTCCTTAATGATATCTCATAATATATGAAAGGTGTATTAACTTTGTTATTCTGTTGATAACTCCTCGAAATACTCAATATATATTCTTGATCAGCATATAATTCTAAGTCCATTTAGCAATGCCCATCTCTCTGTTTTAATCACGCTATCTTTCGAACGAATTGAGATAGAAGGCTAAAATTTTGCACACATTTGTGTTTTGACAGAAGGTAGGATAAGTGCGTAAGTGTCGGACCACGTTTTCGTAAAGCCCCCATATAACGGTACCTCTCAATATTTGGTATTTTTATGATTTTAGCGACATTATTGATCGTAATAGTTTCAAATTTCGTATTGGAAGATCTTAATGGGTACAAGAACAATGAAGCCGTCACACGCTGCCCGAATGTTGCTCTGCGGTATTTTGGCCTATTCCCGGCAAAGCGCTTGCTTGAGGTGATCGACACTTTGGTATTTTTAGTGCCAACCTTGCTTTCCAAAATACTCCAGACACAATAGTATAGACTGGTATCCGGAGATTTTGGTGGAAACTAAGCGAAAAACCTCATTTTGAAACCATTCTTAGGTTGCTGAGTTCTGTTGGAATGTCCAAGGTCTGCGGCCAAAATGTTTGCGTGTCCAAGGCTTTAATATACCCTCCAGAATATTTTCGCGATAATATTCGGCAATTATTCTGATGCCACGGTCGATTAATGAGAGCGGAGAGCGACCTTCGGCTGTTATGGCCGACACCATCACCATGGCCGGTGCATGAATTCTGGTGGTTCTGGTGGCCAATCGAAGGTGCACATTTTCAGCTGACCTCTTTGGCAAGAAAACACGATAATTTTGTTTGTTTACAAACGGCTGGACAACGAATATTTTCTCATCAAAGAAAACCAAATTCGGAAGTTCACCACTTTCGGCCAAGCAAAGCAACTCTTTAGCTCTTTTGAGTCTATTTTCTTTCTGTTGCGGTGTAAGTTCTTGCTCTTTTTGGAATTTTAATGGCTTTACCCCGAGCTCATTTTTCAATATTTGCCGAATGGAATATTGCGATATGTTTAGCTCACGAGCCATTTTTTGGCCACTGGGACGCGGATTTCGATCAAATCGAAACATTTCTGCAGATGTTGCTGTTTTCTTCCGTCCACTTCCTTGACGTCGGACTACGCTACCATTATCACGAAAACGAGCGATTGTACGAGGCACAAAAGATTGGTTCACATTTAAATGCTGGAATGCTCTAGCGGGAGCCACTTGTTGTTTTCCAGCCAAATATAAAGAAATCACACTATCACGCTTGAGTTCCATAACGAATAACTTTTTTTCTGGAAAATTCTCACCGAAATGCTTTAGTACGCTTTTAAACAATATAATAACCTGTGACTGGAATAATTTTAACAACTGTCGGACGAGTGGCTTATGACAGCAGCCTGATGTTGGAATGCAGTTTTTTCATCTCACCCTGTATGTATTTTGGCAGTAAGAAGGTTAAGTTCGTAAATGTCGGTCGATGTTTTCGTATAGCCCCCGTATAACGGTATCTCTCAATATTCGGTATTTTAATGATTATAGCGACATTATAAATCGTAATTCAAATTCCGTATTGGAAGATCTTAATGGGTAATACAAACTGTGACAAAAAAATAAATATATGCAGGTTCACGTCTTCTTACAACCCCTATATAACGTTACCTCCCAATATTCGGTATTTGTATGGTATTGGAAACATTTTAAACAAGGATTGTTTATAAAACGACATGAAAGTAAAATAATTATTGATAACCTGTTCCAGAACTGCAATTTAGTACTATTTTCGTCGATATCATGAAGGACAAATCGCTTATAGCAGTAAAAGAGTCATTATTGGTCTGTTCCAGGATAACAAGAATGTAAAACTTTTTACTACGGTAACGGATTTTCCCATCAATCAATTGCAAATCTTTTTTCTTGTAGATTCTCGAACAGAGGACTAGCTAAAACTTCAATGCCTAATAGTAAGTTTGGTACCCAATATTTGGCAAGTAGTTATTCTTTGGAAAAAAATCGAAATTCATTTCATTATGTTTTTTTTTTCGTATGTCAACTTTGAGTTTCGAAGTCACAATCTTCGGCTGAAAAGAAAAAAAAGAAAAATAAAGAACTCCTTATGTAGAATTTCAGACAATTCCATTGAAAAATGTGGCTAAAATCATCAAAATATCGAAAATATCTGTGCAAAATTTTTGCTTCTTATATTAATTCGTTTTGACTGTAGCGTGATTACAACAGACGGACAGACAAACGGAGGAACAGGGCTAAATCGTCTTAGAATTTTACGCTGATCACGAATATATATACTTTGTTGGGTCTAAAATTATTATTTCAATGAGTTACAAACGGAATGACGAAATTAATATACCCTCCACTATGTATGGTGGAGGGTATAAAAAATATATTTTGCTTAGGAATTTTTTAATGGATTAGTAATAACAGTTTACATTTGCCTGGCTACCTATTGAGAACATTAAATGTCACTTCACAGCTAATTTGATTGGAAATTGACAACCAAACTTTCAAAATACTGAAAACACCGTGATTCCGTTATATCTGGGCTACACTTAAAAGTGGGCATCCTAAGAAGTTTATCAAAAAATGCTAAACTTAAAAGCTCCAAATTTAATAGTGCGTGCCATATCGTGATTTTACCAAACGGACATGATGAAATTGACTTCGAATATTACGCTGATCGAGACAATATACTTTATGGAGTCTATGACGATTATTTCGAGGTGTTATAAACGAAATACATTTTACAAATCATTGACATTTGCAATGATAACTTTAGTGAAATAAAAAAATAGGTTGGTCCACTTTTATGATGGGTTGATTGTATAGCAGTGTTGGAATCTTTGTTGGAGAATTTATTTATTTCTTTCTTGCAAAAAACCCTTTTTATACCCTACAACACTATGTGTTGGGGGTATTATAAGTTTGATTGGGCCAGAATTTATGTAACATCTCGAAATATTGGTTTCCCATATAGGAAAGTATATATGGATCTTCCTAGCTCGCCGAGCTGAGTCGATCTAGCTATGTATGTCCGTCCGTCCGTCCGTCCGTCCGTCCGTCTGTCCGTCTGTCCATGTTAATTTGTAATCACTCTACAGGTCGCAATTATGGCCCGATCCTAACGAAATTTTGCACGAAGGTGGGGTTAGGGTCAGAATAGAAGCCTATTTCATTTGGAGATGATCGCCAAATGTTTAGGGGTTGAAATGGACCAAATACTGAAAAAATTTCGGATTTTGCAGTAGCTATACAGGTCGCAATTATAGACCAATCGACGCGGAATTTCACATGTTGCTAGAGTTTAGGGCGGGGAAGAAGCCTACGAATTTGGGTGGTCATCGAATAATATTTAGCGGGTAAAATAGACCATATTTTTGTGTTGAAAAAATTCAAAATTTTTCATTAAACCGCGAATATTTTAAATCCCGGCGAAATCACAAAGCCATGACAAGGTACTTCTGATCTTTACATTGATGTTAACATCCAACAAAACGGATTTATAGCAAAATATGTGCGATATATATGTTTATCAAAGAAGATATGCTTGAAAAATCTCTTATATGTCGAGAACGGCTGAACTGATTTCGACAGTTCTCATTAATTCAGAATGGCCTCTTGGCAGGAAAGAAAAAACGCCTAAAAAAATCGCATAAAAATATCTCTCTAAAGATGAAAATATTGATTTTGTAAAATTTTCTCATATTTTTTCAATTTTGTCATATTTTTGGCATATTTTCATTTTGTATTAAACATTTGGTAATATTTCTACAGCTAACAAAACTAAGTAGTTAGGATATCATATACAGATCGGATTTATGGCCCGATCCTTATGAAATTTTGCATGGGGATAAGATGAGGGTCAGAATAGAAGCCTACTCTTTTTGGAGATGATCGCCATATATTTAGGGGTTGAAATGGACCAAAAAACTGCAAAATTGTCAGCAGGTCGTAATTATCGCCCGATCCTCACGCACATTTGAATGGGGATTACCGGACATTGCAAAAGCCAAGCAGTTTTTGATGGCCATCCAAAAATATTCATTGTGTGAAATAGTTTTCCAACTTCGTGTAGACAAAATACGAAAATGTTTATTCCAGTGACTCTTTGGAAAATTCACAAATACAGGAAAGACGCACCTCTGACTATTTCGTTAACGCTGATTTCTCGGAAGAATATAGTCAAATGTCTGTATCTCATATAGATGCGTTTCAGTCAAAAACCAATAATAAATGGTAATCTTTTGCCACTTCTGAGAGATTATTGGTCTTTGGGAAATATTGGTTCCAGATCTAGGAAGACCATTTACGTGCAACATCTACCAATAAATTGGAAATGAGCAAATTAGTTTAAGTTGCTATTATTCGAAAATTAGAGAACGAAACCTGATGATTTTCTTTTATTATTTGTCACAATTTCTTGTGGAATTCTTTCGAGTATCTGGCCTATATAATCTGTATCGTTTATTATAGTGTTGTAGGGTATTCAACGGTCGGCCCCGCTCGACTGTAGCCTTTGCTTACTTGTTTATTAATTAATTTAATATTGAAGATAATGATAATTTTTACATATTCCTTTTTAAATCATCTTTAAAGATTTATGTCTTCACAAATTGGATACATTTTGCCCATACTTAAGTTGTAATAATTATTTTATAACTGAATGTAAATATTTGGTAAAAACAATTATATAATCCATAAAAATGCACAACATAATAAAGAATTAAAGAACAATTTGTGCAATAAACATAATTCGCATAAAAAAGTACATATTTTAAACTTCATATCTTAACTAACATCCTGATAGAAAAATTTCAATAAAAAATTTAACTCAAAATTCTCGCAATGTACCTTTTTTCCATTTCATCAATTACCATATCGACTCAATGACGTAATCCCCATTATTGTCCATCGTATACCAATTTATCCTGCGTTGTATATAACGGAATGTGTGTGTCTGTCTTATACGCCAGTTAACTGCATAATTTCCAACCAAACACTACACGAGCACGGAAGGTTGGCGTGGGAATATTCCCCGTCTATGTTGTTATCAAGGAAAGCGTAGCTAAAATTTCGACAGACTTGAAGGTGCTTTGGAAAAAAAAAAACTATTAGCAAAACACACCCATAAAAATATATCATAAAAAAGCTTCCTTGAGTTTAAAATTTAAAAGTTCCAATGATTTGCACTTTTTCGCATTGAATTCAAATACCGTGATTCTCCTGTAAAGTTTGGTTTTGTTTTTAAAAGGGATGGTGAAATAATTAGCGGCGTTCTGATCACCATTCAGTCGGCAATAAACGTGTTTTATAGATGTCTTATTAAATATTTGTACGATAAGATAATTAATTGAGGAATAGAAATGTATCAAGGGGTGAACGCCATGCAAACAGATGGCGTCCAACAAAAAAGGCGTTACAACCGAAACAATGACAAAAACTCCGACTATTTGTCTACAATAAAAATTTTGTGCTAGGTATCTGATAAAAATGTACTCGAGCGATTTTCGCCAAGATAAGGTCTCTAAGGAATCTATCGTTTGCGGATATATTTTACGGGCTGTGAATACAAAGAAAAGAGTGAAACAAATCAAAGAAAACGTTCAGTCAATTTCGAACGTCTCCTCCGGCTAGACATTAGACAAGACGCGAAAAATACAAAAAAAAAAAAAAAAGAGAATACATCTTAACATAGAACCACGAAATAAATTGCTATCAATTGACCTATGGCAATGAAATTAATGGTCTCTCGTAGTGGTAGTGAAAACTTCAAGTGAACTAAGAAAGTACCAAAAATAGCAAAAACAACAAAAGAATATCACATCTCAACCGTAAAACGTGAGCTTTAATTAACTGATTGCTTGTCGTACTTCGCGATATGATCTAAACGAAACATAGTTGTGAAAAGTCCGTGTTTAGTTTTCTCTAAAAACACTCTAGTCGGTCGTTTGTGCTGTGAACATCATGAGGGATCCATCGGATAACAAGAAATCGAAGAAAAAATCCAAAATGCCGCAACAGCAAAGGGATGTGGGATTTTTTGAACTCTTCAGCTTTGCTACGCGTTGGGAGTATTTTTTGCTGGCGGTGGCGTTTGTAGCAGCTTTTCTCAAATCCCTGGTATTTCCGATAATCATAGTGGTCTACAGTGAATTGGTGGCCATGTTTGTTGATCGCAATTTATGTCTGCCCACAACGAAAACGTATTTCTTACCCCTATTTGGAGGCGGAAAATATTTGTAAGTATTTATGATATACTTAATATTGTGTGAAATTATCTAATAGTACAAACAAGCAGATTTATAAGAATATATTATGTATGTTTATCTGCGTGTAGTTGAAGGATCTAAAAATTAATGACATACATAAAAAATAGTTTTGAAATCAATTCGTGGGGAGGAAAGTATAAACTTTTCTAGTAAAATTTACAAAAACAAGTCTTGAGAATCCATTCCAAATGTTATATTTTCCAGTATCATTTTCTTAATAATTTGGATTTATATACTTATTTTTGAGAATTTTTATAGGAAGTGTCATAAGGACTTCTACACAAAAAGACCTAACTACAACAACAACATTGATCTAATTTTGGACAAAAGTAGGACAATATTTGACTCTTTATGAGAAAGTTCCGTAAAAAGAGCACTAATTTCTCCATCTCTCTCCGAAAAAAAAAATCGAATCATGTTAATTATATCGCTTTGATGAAGTTCTGATCTAAATCGAAGACTGCTTTTAAGAGACGTGGCTGGATCGACACAAAACGTTCTGGATCGTACACAAACGAAAAAGTTCACGGCGGATATTAGTTGAACAAATAATGTTACGATGGGCAAAGTTTAGACAGACTCAAGATTTCTGATTATTTAAAATGTTTACCCTTGCTCTGCTACAGCAAATTTTTATACGGAGTCGGTATTTATGATGATTTTAGCAACAGTTTTTACCGGAGTTGTTTCAAATTTTGTATTTAAAGTTCTTAATGAGTACTTTAGCCTATGACAAAGAGTATTTTTTGTATTTGAAGTTCGGAATCGGTAGTGCAGCCTATTACAAAAAATTATGTACTATTGCCCCCATATAATTTTCATTCGAGTGGTATTTGTCGACGGCATTTTTTTTTTGGAAAATTTTCCTTTTTTTCCCTTCAAAATGGTGGGGCTTTCGTTATCATAATGAAAAAAGTGGTTATCGTAGTAACATTTTATCATTCTTGCAAGTTCAGGAACCGGGCACCCTTGTTAAAGAGGTTATTTCCACTTCCTTCTCCTTTAACGAGATATTCCCCTAGTTCCTTTTGATGATATCAATAGAATTACATTCTGAGTCCGGTGTTTTTTTTTTTTTTTTTCTTTTTTTTTTGTTTGTAAACAGGTCGCATATATTGTCGATGGACAAATCCTACTGAAATTGAAATAATCGGTCCGAATTAAGATATAGACCCCATATGTCTTCACCCCATATAAATTTTATTGAGCATCTAATCTTTAATATTAGCCCAAGATGATGGATTTTGGCACATACGACTAATTCAAATCGTGTAAATCGGATCAGTTATAGATACTGCTCACATATATGCTCTGTCCCAGTACCTGCAAGAAACCACTAGTTTTCTAATTCTCTCCGATATCATAAAGGGAAATCGGTAATCGTTGTGAAAACTTTTACATTCCTGCAGATCTGAAACAGACCAATATATGCTGCATTCGATATGATATTTAATGGTCTGTTCTAGAGCTACAAGAATTTAGAACATTTTACTAAGATAACCGATTTTCCCTTTATGATATGCAGGTTGTGGAGCAAAGCCTAAGTAACTCTAATTTGGCTGACATTATACATTTGGTGCAAACAAAGATCTATTCGGAAGCTATACCCAAATCTTATCCAATGTATGTTGTATGGGACCCATAGATATATCTGAATCGACTTTCAACAAAATTTGACAAATTTGTCTAAAGCAAATTTGACCAAATTTGGTGAAAATCGGTTCATATATATGCAGCTACAGCTCCGATATATATGCTTCGCCCGATTTTAACTTGAGTCTTCTAAAAATAAAATGGTTTAAGATATAATTTCCACTTGATGGTTCCATTCGATTACGAATTTAAATCTTTCTAAAGCCGCGACGCGCTGATCTTGAATTACTTCACATAAATTCCCAATATAAACGTTTGCTCTACTAAATATGTACTATGAATATTTTGACATCAATATTGATAAGGAGGAGTAGGACGATATTGTTAATTCTCCGATCGCTTTATATGGGTTTATGTGTGTTTTATGAATTAATTAATGTGCGAAGTTTCAAAAAACAGAATACTGGGCATTCCCTTCTCTTCATTTATTAGTTATATGACTATTTAAATATATCCCTTTTGTGAAATAGACAGATAGACAGACATGGGGTCTAAAGCCATTAGTTCGATTGGTAACTTTTTGAAGGTATACATATATCGGTATTCCTAATAACGTTTAAAATTATTTTAACAATAATTTTGACATGGCTCATTTCTTAGATATAATGGAACATTTGAGGAGAACATGGAGGAATTACGAAATGATTCAATGTCGTTCGGTATTATTTGTGCCCTCGACTCACTGCTAATGTTCATCAGTGGCATTATCTATGTGGATCTATTCAATCATGTCGCTCTCAATATTGTCGTTCGCATGAGACGAGACTTCTTTGCGGCCACCATACGACAGGACATCGGTTGGCACGATATGGCGCAAAATCAAAATTTTGCCGTACGCATAACAGAGTAAGTGAAGTGAGGCAAAGGATTAAGAGAAAAATGATGCTATTGAATCCTTATTTTTTTTTTTTTGGAACAGCAATATGGAGAAAATACGAAATGGTATTTCAGAAACCATAGGCCACTTTGTAATGATGTTTTTCGATATTGTCATCAGTATTCTAATATCCTTCATATATGGTTGGCGTTTGACGTTGGCAATTTGTGCATACATACCGCTGACCATGGTGATAAACTACTTGATATCGAAGGTAAATATTATTGAGTAAAAACAGTTATACCTCTTTTAAAAAAAATAATAATTTTGTGTAGCAAATATTTCCAAATTTTATCTTTTACCCAAATTTATGTATTCGTTTTTTTTTTTCTAGTACCAAAGTAAATTAACAACGGAGGAACAAAATGTCTATGCCAGGGCAGCTTCGGTAGTTGAAGAAATCATAAGTTCTATACGCACTGTGGTAGCTTTTGGTGGTGAAAAATCAGAGAGAGATCGTTATGACGACCTCTTAAAACCCGGCCTCAAAACTGGCAAAATCAAAGGAGTATTTTTGGGTCTGGGAGATTCAGTTTTGAAATCAATGTTGTTCATAAGCAGTGCGGGTGCCTTTTGGTATGGAGCCCACTTGATTCTTGACGATCGTTTCAAGGAGCCGGAATTTCAGGAATATACACCTTCCATTCTGATGATTGTAAGAACAATAGAAACAATTCATGCCCTATCACTTAATGCATAGGATATTTAACAAAATTTCAGGTAATTTGTGGCATCATTGTGGGTGCCGATCACATAGCTCGCACTTCGCCCTTCCTAGAAGCCTTTGCCAGTGCCCGAGGCTCAGCAGTAGCCATATATGAAGTGCTTGAAGCAGAATCGAAAATTGATCCCCTATCAAGCGAAGGCAAAGTTGTTAACTATGGTCTCAAATGCAATATCGAATTCCAGGATATATTCTTTGCGTACCCTTCACGGCCCGACACTATTGTGCTGAGAGGTTTCAATCTAAAAATAAACGAAGGCGAAACAGTGGCTCTGGTCGGCTACTCTGGATCGGGCAAATCAACATGTGTGCAGCTATTGCAAAGATTTTACGATCCCATCTTCGGAAAAGTTATGCTGAATGAAGAGGATATTCGGAAATACAATGTCAATTGGCTTCGATCTCAAATGGCTGTGGTGGGTCAGGAACCGGTACTCTTCTATGGTACCATCGGTAAGTGTTCCCATAATCCTAATCAGATTCCCAACTTATTCCATGTTCTCTACTCTGCAGAGGAAAATATAAGACATGGTAAAATGGATGCAACACAAAAAGAAATTGAAGACGCCGCAAGAGCTGGTGGAGCCCATGACTTTATAATAGGTTTACCAGAGGTAGGTGTTCTATTTGTCGATTATTATTCACCATATTATTAACACCCATTATTTAGGGCTACAACACCGTAATTAGTGAAAAGGGTGTTCAGTTATCCGGAGGACAACGTCAAAGAATAGCCATAGCCCGTGCCCTCATACAAAACCCTAAAATTCTTCTGCTTGATGAAGCCACCTCTGCTTTGGATTATCATTCCGAAAAATTAGTTCAGGCCGCTTTGGATGGAGCAAGCAAAGGACGAACAACATTAGTGGTATCCCACCGCCTTTCAGCCATTCGCAGTGCCGACCGCATAATTTTCATAGATAAAGGAAAAGTTGTGGAGGAAGGCAACCACGACAGTCTGATGAAATTAAAGGGGCGTTACTATGACATGGTCACAGCTCACCAATATGAAAATTTGCTCGACAACGAAGATGCCGTGGATAACAAGGAAACGGATGATGTGGAAACTGAAAAAGTAGTGGCCGTCGTAAAGCCGGTACCAAACGGAGTCAATGTTCCTCGATTCTCAGAGGCTTCGTTGGATAAAAATATGATTCAGGCATTTGCAGCACGTTGTTCTTTAACCGATCCGTCAATGAAAGAAATGGCTACCATAGAGAAAACCCAGTATTTGAAAACATTCCATCGTGTGGTGCAGTGGGCCCGACCTGAATGGGGCTTCTTGAGCATAGCAGCCGTATGCGCGCTGTTGTACGGCTGCGCCCAACCGGCATTTGCTTTTGTTTTTGCTGATCTCTTTGGTTCGTTGAACGAAATCGATGAAGCCGATGTACTTCGCAACACAGGAAGATCGGCTATTATTGCCATTGTTGTGGGCGTTTTGGCAGGTGTCACTTGTTTCACACAGACGTATTTCTTCAATCTGGCTGGATTATGGTTTACAACAAGATTGAGGTATGAAGTATTAACCACAAGATGGAATGGAATGTAAATATTAATTTAAATTATTTTCCATCCACTTTTCACTTTTTAGATCTATAACAATTGGCAAAATCCTTGGCCAAGAGATGGCCTGGTTCGATCGCAAGGAAAACAGTGTTGGTGCTCTGTCAGCACGTCTGTCCGGAGATGCCTCTGGAGTTCAGGGTGCCATTGGCTTTCCTCTCAGTAATATGCTACAAGCATTTTCGAATTTTGTCTGCAGTTTTTCCATAGCATTTTCCTATTCATGGGAACTTGCATTGATTTGTTTGACAACGGCTCCTTTTATGGTGGCATCTGTGATTTTTGAAGCCAAGTAAGTTCGCTTTCCTCATCTCGGTCACATTTGTTAAAATTCCATTATCTACATCAATTTCCCAAATAAAGATACACCAACAAAAGTGCCGTTAAAGAAAAAGAAATTCTCGAGGAAACCAGTCGGATTGCCACAGAGACCATTGCCCAAATTCGCACGGTAGCAGCTCTGCGAAGAGAAAATGATTTGATTAAAACCTATGACATTGAAGTTGAACGATACCGCCAAGAAATTAAAAAGAAACTTCGCTACAGGGGTGTCATAAACTCTCTCGGAATGTCAATTATGTTTTTGGGTTATGCAATCACGCTTACCTACGGCGGTTATATGTGTGCCGATGGCAGAATTAAATTTGAAAATATTATGAAGTAAGTCAGCGCATTTGTATTTAATGTATCTGATGAATCAGAATAACCCTCTTTGCCGGCTTTTACAGAATTTCAAATTCCATGTTGTATGGTTTATTCATTCTGGCCCAGTCATTGGCCTTTACGCCCATGTTTAATGCTGCTCTGGTCTCAGCAGATCGAATATTCTCCATCATTGATCGTGATCCGGAAATTAAATCGCCAGAAGTTTCATCCGCAAAGAATTATTCTCTAATAACAGGGAAGAGTAATGCCGTACAGGGCGTCAGTTTCCAAGATATACATTTCCGTTATCCAACGAGAAGGGATCAGAGGGTTCTAAATGGTCTCAACTTAGAAGTGCTACAAGGCAAAACCGTGGCGTTAGTAGGTGCCTCAGGTTGTGGCAAATCAACCTGCGTGCAATTGTTGTTGAGATACTATGATCCCGATTCCGGGAGCATTGTAAGTATATTGGATAAATCAACCTGAGAGCATTTTCAGTTTCAACTTTCATTTTCTTTCAGTATATCGATCAGGATGATATTCACCATGATTTGACTTTAAGCGCATTACGTAAACGAATTGGTATAGTGTCCCAAGAGCCATCGCTATTTGAAAAAACAATAGCTGAAAATATAGCCTATGGGGATACTTCACGCACTGTTCCCATGGAGGAAATACTGCTCGCAGCAAAAATGGCCAATGCCCATGATTTTATTTCAGCACTACCATCTGGCTATGAAACATGCCTCGGAGCCAGAGGTACCCAACTATCTGGAGGTCAAAAGCAACGGATTGCAATTGCGCGAGCTCTAGTTAGAAATCCAAAAATACTGCTTTTAGACGAGGCCACCTCCGCTTTGGATTTACAAAGTGAACGCCTCGTTCAAACGGCCCTGGACGAAGCATGCTCGGGTCGTACTTGTCTAGTGATAGCCCATCGCTTAGCCACAGTTCAAAATGCCGATGTGATATGTGTTATACAGAATGGCAGAGTTATCGAACAAGGCAATCATCCCCAGTTGTTAGCCAAAAATGGAATTTATGCCAAATTGTATCTCAGCCAACCAAGTACCCATTAGTAAAAGTTTTTAGTATTATAGTGTACAGTTTTATGGAAGAAATGTTAAGAATATAAAATAAACAAGATTAATTATCAAAATATTTTAATGTTCTTAAATTTTCACAGATAGGTTTTGCAGAAGATGGGTAAGTTTGATTATTGTTTCTAAAATAGGAAGGTATTATATTACATTCTAATCTAAAAGTTTCTTAATGCCCTTGAAGTTATCAAAAAAATAATTAAGAATTTTGGTATATATTTCAATTAAAAACTTTTACACAATGAGATGTAGGTGTATATCACATGATGACATTGAAAAATACGCCAATAATCCAGCTCAATTCTTGAAAAAATTACTATTAATTGGCCTTGGAGGCGTCAGTATTAAGAATGAATTGAAAAAAGAAAGAGAGAGAGAGAAAAAAATAAATACGATTTCGAAGTCAATTAGATTGGATTGTTCAATAAGCATGTTAACTTTCCAAAAGCTTGCTGAGAGCCATCTGCATAAATAGACAAAACCAAAACCAGTCAGTTTTCTATATATTAATTAGTCTATGCTTAACGGAAAGTTTTTTCTTTTGATTCTTGTGTCGACATCAAGATACTAACAATCTTTGTTTAACATTTCATTCATTAATTAGCACATTTAAAATAAGTATTACGCTCTAGAACCCTACTACTTTTACACAATCAGCTCGAGATCATATACAGCGTGTTTTCATTTGTCCCGTTCATAAAATGAATGGTGAAATAACTATAACTCGGGACTCTGTTGTTGCAGAAAATTACTTTTTTTATTTTTTACAATTTTTCACTTTTAAACAATGTTTTTTTTAATATTTGAAAGTGTAAATACTGGAGCCAGCTAATAAGCAGAAATTATACAATTGTAGAAAACAATATTGCAACCGTTCTCTGTTCACGTTCGTATTCCCGTGTTTTGGCGGAACAAACATGAGAGATGCCTAGAATAACCTAATCACAAATATATTCGTTAACTAAGACAAAATTAAATGTACATAAAATAAAATTATTATGACGGCAATGTTACTGATCTATTATCATAGCTTGTGTCTGTATGTTAGTTTAATTAATTTTACATTCTAATATTATAAATATTATTTTGCATAAGAGATATATAAATTATAAAAAGTTTTTTCTTTGTATATGAAGTCAGTGTTGAGAAGCAAGAACATATTTATTTTTTTCCTTTTTTGTTTCAAGAAGGAGAGAGAGAGATAATGTTGTTTAATTTTATATAGTTTTTTTGGTTGGAAAAGCTAAAAATTGCATCTAGTCTATTTTAACATTGGAATAAATTTTACGAACGAAAACACTTGTGCCGATATAGCCCACCGTTCCACATATTATACCTAAAGCACCACTGAATAACGCCATGTATCCAAAATAGAATGTGGTTTGGAAAAGGCCATACATTCTGCAAAATAAAACAACAAAGTAGAGTGAATTTAATAATGTCGTGTGCTTTGATGGAAACTTACTTGGTTTTGAAGAAAAAGTAATAAAATGAATATGCATACACATATATCGAGGTTGAAGCGGCAGACATAAAACTGGTCCATTGCCATCTATAGTCTTCAGCATTTAATAGGAAGTACGAACATACTATTGTTACGCACACGGTAACAATCGTGAGAATAGTGAAAACCAACAACATAAATCCGTATACGTAATAGATTTTGTAAGCCCAAAACGATGTAAATATAAAATACCTAAAATGGAAAAATGAGTAAGCCATAAGTAAGTGGTCGCAACTAAAGTAGCGATTGACTTACATTTCGATGAATATTGAACCAAAAGGTAAAATACCCCCTAATAATATAATAATTGCAGGCTCCATGAACCATTTCTTTTCTGGTATGGGTCTGGGGACAGCATTAACGCGACAAGGATAATCGGGTTGTCCATCCAAGTTACGGCCAACCACTGTGCCAACCAAGGTTAATGGCAAGATTACAAAGAAGCATATGCATGTGACGGCAACCATTGTGCCGAACGGTATTGCTCTGGACGCATGATAACCAATGGCAATGAAGTTGATGAAGAAGGCAGTTCCGCACACAAACACAGGCACCATAAAAGCTGATACCAACATCTGACGAATCCACATACGACCTCCTAATCTCGAATATAAAGATCCTCCAAAGTATCCGTTGATTGGAGATGTAGCAGCGTATACAAATATAGCTGTAGACAGCATTGAACCACGTCTATAAAAACACCACAATCATTATTTGTCAATTCAAAATTTTCAACGTCTTTAACGAAAACTTACTCTGTGTATAGTTCTCCGACAATAGCGAAAATAATTACACAAAATACCACCGAAATCAATTGATATCCAGCACCAATTAAAGCCGAAAATAAAAGAGTATGTGGAGGAGATCGGAAAACATCACCATGTACCTGTTTCCAACCGTATTCGTCGCCCAAATCCCGTTCCTAACAATATAATACAAGATTTCAAAACTGGACGGGCAATTGATTTCCATTTACAAACCATGTCATCCATTTCTTCATCTTTGCTATAGCGAGCATAGTCCTTTCGCAATGTACGCATCAAAATCATCGACACCAAACCAACAAGGAAAATTACCATCATAAAGCTATTGAATATACTGAACCAGTGAATCTATAATGGGGAAGAAAGTATTCCAACAACGTGGTCAGAAAGATGCCGAAAGATGATGACACACACCAACTCACCCTGTGCTGGAAGAAATTTGGATCCAAATATTTGTCAAAACGGTCTTTAAATTCTACTACACTAGGTTTCCAGTTCACTTCATAAGAAAACTTGATCTTAGATCCCGCCGCCAACAGTTCTTTCTTCTCAGTTGTCAAACTGATGTCCACAATTTGTTGTCCGTTGCGGCCAATGTCAAATTTCTTGTGTGTGTAAATGTAATATCTGCCTTGATCGTCCTTTTCGCCAACTTTTCCCCAAATTGGCAAGCCATCAATGTACATTTGATACCAGTATTCATTCATAACTGCGTAGGTAAAAGCTTTAACTTTGTCCTCCGTCAAATCAACCATACAAATAACAGTAGAGGGCACATCGCCTGCAAAAAACAGAAGAGAAGCACATTTTGTTTATCATAGAGTTATTATGACTGCATCATACATACGATTGAATTCAATTTCATAGCCACTGAATTCCAATTCCACTCCTTGCAGCGCTTCGCTCAGCGTCTCATGGTAATGGGATATAGATGATTTTGATCCACTGCAAAAGGGCAAGCTGAAATATGCATACGTTTCTTGGCGATTATGATAGGGGCCAACGGTATTCATCCATAGGACAACTTCTTCGCCATCATTATACTGAAAATACACAGATTACACACCATTTCAGCTGTGCAAATACACATTGCAATTATTTTTCCGAAAACTCACTTTGTGATTGTGTTCATCGCCTCTGACAAGAAGCAATGTTAACACAAACAGAAATGCTCTAGCCGCCAACCCCATTGCGGCTTTTCTAGCTATGGCCTGTTTATGATGTTCCTGAAATAATTTGCAGTTGCTTGATAATGTTTATCTTAGAGTAATATCCAGCAGCCGGAAGATAATTATATATTTCTACGTGGCTTACAAAATTAATGTAACGATTAGAACGAACAAATTCAGTAGAACTAGGGATAGGTAAGTCGACTTCCGATTAATCGAACAATCGACTTTTAATACTCAAAGTTTTGAAACTCGAATTCGACTATTGACTTTGGGTGAAACCCGAGTACTCGACTATTCATAGTCGATTTTTTGACTTATGCTATGTTCTCATTGCAATTTCAATCACGTTATTTGCTCTCAAAATTAGGTACACGAATTATCCCGTTCATACGGCACGATTCGTAATTCCTAGTAACATAATTCCTTTTTCAAATTTTTTGTTTGTTGATTTTTATAGAAATTTGTACAAAATTACATGAAATTAGCATTAATAATAATAAAAAGAATTATTGTTTTTCCTCCAAAAATTTTATTTGATTTTTTATTTAACAATTTTCATTCATGAATGATTAAGGACTTTGACTTTTTGAGCTTTTAGGTCGGTCACTATGGTTGTGTTCCAGTACTTTGTTAGTAGTAAAACTAGCAGAAGAGAGAACAGTTCGAAATGTCATTCTCAATTAGGTGGGCTCAAAAAATAAGGGAACGGAAAATTAGCAGAAATGCGATAAAATGTCAAAATTCAAAATTCCAAGAGTAAACAGTCCAAATCGGACTGGTGAAACCTTACTGAAACGGACGCCAAAATTTAAAAAAATTAGTATTGAAGACGATACGTTAAAATTAATAATCTATAATAATAAATAATAATCTGATTCATCATTCAGCCAGTCCTCTTCACTGCCGGAATCATACAAAAGTGCTCCATATTTTCTCTTTTTGTTTTTTTGCACTACAAATATTATTTTTTCCTTTAGTTTTTAAGTTGATCATTTCTTTATTTTTGTTATGACGCGGGAACATTGATATGTATCAATACATTTTTCAACCTTGTTAGCCCTGCCAATTAAATGTCAAATTCACAATTTGCACATTTCTGCTCGGCCAAATTCATGTAGCTAAAACAAGCAGAAATGTGCACCACTCAGCGCCATTTTTTCTCGAGAGAGCTGCAAGTTTTGCTAGTTTTTGCAGTACGGGAACGCGTACTAATTGTAGGTTCTGGAACACAACTTATGTTTTATTATATTTGTCATTGATATCGTTTTTTATCGAGAATTCCTTAAAAAATCGATTACATTTTTTAAACTCTCTTCTCCATCGCTTTCACATGGTAGAAGTTGGGCGTATGGCGGCAGACTCTATACGCCGACTTAAAAAGTTTGTAAAACGGAATGCAATCAGTTTGTATGTGTTTTTGTTTTTATACCCTACAACACTATGTGTTGGGGGTATTATAAGTTTGATTGGGCCAGAATTTATGTAACATCTCGAAATATTGGTTTCCCATATAGGAAAGTATATATGGATCTTCCTAGCTCGCCGAGCTGAGTCGATCTAGCTATGTATGTCCGTCCGTCCGTCTGTCCGTCTGTCCATGTTAATTTGTAATCACTCTACAGGTCGCAATTATGGCCCGATCCTAACGAAATTTTGCACGAAGGTGGGGTTAGGGTCAGAATAGAAGCCTATTTCATTTGGAGATGATCGCCAAATGTTTAGGGGTTGAAATGGACCAAATACTGAAAAAATTTCGGATTTTGCAGTAGCTATACAGGTCGCAATTATAGACCAATCGACGCGGAATTTCACATGTTGCTAGAGTTTAGGGCGGGGAAGAAGCCTACGAATTTGGGTGGTCATCGAATAATATTTAGCGGGTAAAATAGACCATATTTTTGTGTTGAAAAAATTCAAAATTTTTCATTAAACCGCGAATATTTTAAATCCCGGCGAAATCACAAAGCCATGACAAGTTACTTCTGATCTTTACATTGATGTTAACATCCAACAAAACGGATTTATAGCAAAATATGTGCGATATATATGTTTATCAAAGAAGATATGCTTGAAAAATCTCTTATATGTCGAGAACGGCTGAACTGATTTCGACAGTTCTCATTAATTCAGAATGGCCTCTTGGCAGGAAAGAAAAAACGCCTAAAAAAATCGCATAAAAATATCTCTCTAAAGATGAAAATATTGATTTTGTAAAATTTTCTCATATTTTTTCAATTTTGTCATATTTTTGGCATATTTTCATTTTGTATTAAACATTTGGTAATATTTCTACAGCTAACAAAACTAAGTAGTTAGGATATCATATACAGATCGGATTTATGGCCCGATCCTTATGAAATTTTGCATGGGGATAAGATGAGGGTCAGAATAGAAGCCTACTCTTTTTGGAGATGATCGCCATATATTTAGGGGTTGAAATGGACCAAAAAACTGCAAAATTGTCAGCAGGTCGTAATTATCGCCCGATCCTCACGCACATTTGAATGGGGATTACCGGACATTGCAAAAGCCAAGCAGTTTTTGATGGCCATCCAAAAATATTCATTGTGTGAAATAGTTTTCCAACTTCGTGTAGACAAAATACGAAAATGTTTATTCCAGTGACTCTTTGGAAAATTCACAAATACAGGAAAGACGCACCTCTGACTATTTCGTTAACGCTGATTTCTCGGAAGAATATAGTCAAATGTCTGTATCTCATATAGATGCGTTTCAGTCAAAAACCAATAATAAATGGTAATCTTTTGCCACTTCTGAGAGATTATTGGTCTTTGGGAAATATTGGTTCCAGATCTAGGAAGACCATTTACGTGCAACATCTACCAATAAATTGGAAATGAGCAAATTAGTTTAAGTTGCTATTATTCGAAAATTAGAGAACGAAACCTGATGATTTTCATTTATTATTTGTCACAATTTCTTGTGGAATTCTTTCGAGTATCTGGCCTATATAATCTGTATCGTTTATTATAGTGTTGTAGGGTATTCAACGGTCGGCCCCGCTCGACTGTAGCCTTTGCTTACTTGTTAAATTTAAATTTGGCTAAATATATTCCTTAAGATTTCTTGGAAATTCAAACCATCTCAGTTTAATATTTCTTATTTAAAACATTGATGCAATGTTTAAAGTTGTGTGATATAATTGTAAAAATCGCCGACAATTAATTTTTAGAAGTTATGTATTTAAATGTATAACTTAATTTTGTTTTCCATTCTTGTTCCCTATTCCAAATAGACCAATGTGATCAACAGAATTGTTTGACATACGGAATTGTTTGACATATTTTTACGATTCAGCTAACTGTATTATGCTATTGTTTTGAAAATCACGCCATATTCTCACCTAAATCTAATACCAAAAAAATATCCAGGGCGTTTTCATTTAATGGAAATATGAGTGATCAACAGAAGCAAAACGCGCATCCTCCAGAATTTTATACTTTTTGGGTGCACTGTAATATCTGTTACAGAATGTATTTTAAAAAGGAATGTCGTTTCTTTTTACTTGCTTGCAATCATGTCGCTTGTGAGATCTGTTTAGAAGGCCATTTGCAACAAACCGACGTCTACAAGTGTAACTTGTGCTTAAAAATAACAAAAGCCTGTGAAATTGGAAACGCAATGCCAGCAAACCTTAAAGAATTGTTTCATCCGGAGCCCTTCTCAGATGGTCTGAATGCTTTCAGAGTTATGGCATTCCAAAATAAGCACCGTCAACGATATTTTGCCCATCAGGAAACAATGGTAAGTGTAGTCCAGTCATATTTTCGCTACACTGCAAATCTCTTCCGTAAATAGGCTTCCAGACTAGAGGAATATCAACGACTTTGCACAGAGGCAAAAACAAATTGCCAGAAATTGTACCAAGACTGTGAAAACTTCAGACATGAGCGGAAGCATTTGGAAAATAGAGCCAAACTTATTCGGCAGCAGAGAAGGCAGATTGATGATAATAGGTAATTTCATTTCATATGTTTACAGAGTTTGTTTTTGTTCGAACTTAAGATTTCAACTGGTTTAGAGTTAGGTTTTTTAAGATATGTTGACCGTTCAGTTTTAAAAATGGCAGAAGTTTCGTGGGATTATAATGAGCAAATTTTCTATAAATACTCAAAACATGAATTCGAAAAACGCTTATTCAAGTGTTTTCTACGTATTTGATTTTAAATTATTTTTAACTTGTGATGGTCGTATTCTATTTAATCCATAGACGAGTATAATTGGGAGTGATGTAAGAGAACTCACTGCGCGTACAAGACGCATAGATGAGCGGTATGACAGGATATGTGATTTACAAACTTGCACTTTCTATAGTCCAACGTTTGAGGATATAGAATATATATGAGGATTTGGGGCATTTGAAGAAAATCAGAGTGTAATTCCACGTTCTATGGGAGTTATGATTTTTAAAAATGTTTTCCTTGGGAGGTATAAGTAAAGTAGATATTTCCTACGTTATTTTTTTAAGCATCACCTAGACAATTAGACGGCCGTTGTCATATCTGCTCCAAATGTTTTAAAAAACTACAGCATATGCTTACTTATATTTGAATTCTGGTATAAAAATATATATTTTTTCAGCTCAAATAAGACATCTTCAGTGTCATCCGAAAATACATCCGCTTCTTCTCTCGCGGGCACAGCTATTACTTCTTTTTCAAATCTGTCACAAGGAAATCCTTTTGATCTGTAGATTAAACGATCGTAGGTAAGTGTACTTTATCAAATTAATTTCGAATTGGCTTTTTGTTTCTTCATTAATATTACTTTATACCCACGACAGTTCAGCTCCGTATATATTTCCTTCGGAAGTATCATATTCCGCAAAAGTAATAGAAAAGAACTGTCATTTGAAATAGAACCAGTATTGTATTGTAATAAACATCCCAAATACACTATTACATATGCTGACACGATCGTCGATTTAATACAATTCTCACACATTTTTATAATGTACTTTATTGAATACATTTTGCTGTTTGTTTTGTTTTCAATTTCATTACATTTTTGTATTGATCTTTAAACTACTTAAAACTTTTTCAAAGTATTTAAAATTCTAATATTGAATAAGACATTAATCATAATTATATTTGTGTGTAATATTAGGAGTGGTAGTAGTAGTATAACAAACTATTTGGATTACAAACTAAAAAGAAAAACTAAATAAACAACTATGCAAATGTAACTAAAAAAATATAAATTCAATGAACACTCGTTTTGGAGGTTTTCTTTTTGTTACACAAAATATAAGCTGAAACACATATCCAATTGTGGGAAAACTTAAACTAAATGAATTCATTGTTAGATGTGGGAACATTTGGCTGGTAGTGTGAAAAAATTTACATTTATACCTAAATTTAAAAGCGATGAAAATGTGTTATGTATTTTACTGATATAAAACATGAAGTCCTTGAATGAACACAATGGACCAGTTTTTTTCCTTATTGGCAAAATTCTACTTCAAATTAATATTGCATACATAGAAAATGATATTTCTATGTTGTTATTACGGATAAGTCTTAAATAAATATGAAAATAGTAGTTGCAGGTCCGGTATGGACCTTCGATACGCTATACGCTGTCATTCTCGTCAGCGTTCATGCATTCAATTTACAGTCTTTTTTACGTTGTAAGGTGCTATCATGGCTTGCGGGCTAACCATTCTCGAATGTGGGTTTGGTTCCATTTCACTGGGATGTAAAGGCGGTGGAGGATGCTGCATGGATGGTGATCCCACAAAGTAGCCTGTATTCGGAGGTCTCTGATGCATATTCATAAGGACGGGCGGCGGAGGCTTTTGCGGTGTGTTAAAAGTTTGCGGCCCTGAATAATTTTCGGGCGGCATTCCCGGTGGTGGCATATTGAATTGCGGATGCCTAACATTCATGGGCATACCTAATGATGGCACGAAGTGGGGCATTGGACCACGTGTTAAAGGAGATGGGGGTAGGCGGGTAAAATTATTTATACGCATGCCAATAAAACCCATAGGCGGAGAAGCATGACGTATCTGTGGTGGGGGTTGTAATTGCGGTGATCCAGGCGGTCCTATGAAATTTCCAATATTTTTAGTAGCATGACGGTCTGAAAATCCATGATTCGGGCTATCGCGCGACTTTTCACACATCATCATCTTCGGCGAATGCAAACTATGGCCTTCGGCACGACCAACTCGATTCAATGCTGCCATGGTTGTCAATTCTTTTTTGCTGCTACTGCACGTTGCGTTTGGTGAATTAACATTCGGCGAACGTGCTGATGCCGGTGGTGCCGATGGAGGTAAGCATTTGGGATTGAGCAGTCGTGGCGGTATACCTTTTTCCAATTGAGAAACATACATCGAGTGTACCATTGAATCGAAATGAAAATAAACAAGGGGTACCGGTGTGGGGGGTCTTAAATAAATAGGTTGTTCCAAATGCGCTGGAAGCGGTACTGAGGGTGGAGGAGGTGGTGGTAGTTTCTCTAAAGCTGGATCGATTTTAGGCGATTCCTTAATTTTGACATCACCCAACAAATCACGTGCTACCAAAAGTTCAATGCCACGCTTCTTACGAAGACGTAAAACCTTGCGCCGAATTCTATCTTCGACTAATTTACGATCCTCGTCATCACTGTCGCGACTTGGATAAATGCCATCTTCGAAATAGACTTTTTTCTTCTCAGTTTTCCTAAAAATAAAAATATAATTAGATATGTATGTTTGCAAAAATGTAAAAGCCGATCTTACTGTGTTTTGCTTGAAGGATCAGCTGATGACTTTAATATGCTTCTCATACAACTTTCACCTTCCCGATTTAAACGCATGACTGCTGATTTTATGTGTCGGCTATTAACCTCGTCCTTCCACGAAACTGTTGAACATGTTACGTGTTTTGCCGATGACGTATCGGTGGTCGCTTCTGATGCAGCGGCCACATCATGTGCTTTAATAGCAGTAGAAGTACAGGCAGATGCATCCACATTTGATGAATCCGATTTTGTGACTACTGTATGGACATGCGATGGTACTATTTCCAAAACATTTCCTTTCTGCACAGCTACAGAGCTAACCTTTGGTAATTCTTTAAGAACGGGATTGATTTGCTGGATACGACCACCCGATGCAGCGAAATCGTTGTAGTAGTACTGTTGCGGTGTTTGTGGTGGTCCTGAGTGTGTCATACTATTACTGTTGATAGTTGGTATGGGGGAGTAACTCGATGGGTGTGGGGCCGAATGAGCTTGTAGATGAGGAGGTAAAGGTGAATGATGCGATTGCATGTGTTGCTGTGATACTATGGGCATATGATGTCCTTCAGAAGTTGGCGCAGGAGGAAGCATTGAAACGTATGGATTTGAATAATAACCCACAGATGATCCGATGGCAGCTTCTGGCATTGGTTGCGGTGGTAAGGACATGTAAGCAGCCCCACCATATTGCGCATAGTTCGAGTAATCATCGTAAATGGCTGGAGGGTTTTCGCCAGGACCATTTAATACGATATTTATACGGGCATCCAATGAAATGCGATTGGGGGACATGTTGTAGTAGTATGATGAGTTGGTTCCAGCTACCCCAGCACCACTAGATATTTGATCGTGGCTGCCATAGTATTGTTCGTGAGGGGAAATTGACGAATGCCTTTCAAAACTAGAATCACGTCTATGTCTGTGATCCTCATAGCGTGATCCATGTGGAGGCGATACGGGTGATCGTGGAGATCTGGGTGAGCGAGGAGAACGTGGTCTTCTAGGAGAGTGTGGAGAACGTGATCTTCGTGAATCAGAATGGGGAGAATTCAATGGTGACAGACTGCGACGCATGGGGGGAGATGGAGGTTTAAATGGCAATGGAGAGTAGCGATCTGGACTATAGGAACGTCTCCTTGGTGGTGGCGTTCTTGGTGATCTTGGTCTTTGTGGCGATCTAGGCGATCTCGATCTTGAGCCTCTTGAACGTGAAAACTTTTTATAATGCAATTGATTGCTTAACTTTCTGCCTCTCAATGGACTGACATCCTTTCCTCTTCTATTAGCAAATTGACGTAGTGGACTTCGGCTTCGAGACCTTGAACGGGATCGTCTACGGAATCTGGCACCTGGTGCTACACCTCTCCTTGGTGGCGTCACATTACGGGTATTCCGCCTCGGGGGACTAAGTGACAGTGAACGACCTCTACCTCTTCGTTGTGGGCTAAACCTTGATCGGGAAGACGATCTACGATTGCGATCCCTATAGTTTGCTGGTGAACGTAGTCGGTCACGGCTTGAACTATAAACGGGAGAGCGATTGTGTCTCTGAGAATCTCTCGAACGCGACTCCTGCGATTCTTTATTTTCCATCATTGGCTTGACGATGGCCACTTCTTTTGCTGGTTTAACAAGTTTCTCCGTAAAGTCTACCTCTTCCTTGTCGTCGCCGGGTTTCTTCTCTGTGTCTTCGGCCATAGATGTAAGGAATATGGCCGGCTTTGATGGTAGCTTCATGGGTGAAATAGTCAACTTAATGGCTTCTCGATTCGAATCAAATATTTTGTTCGGTTCTTGTTTTACAAGTTCTGGCAGTGGCTGTGTTTGAGCTTGGGAGTCACTTGGCAATTGAATAGGCATCGTTGGTGTATGACTATGGCTGTCAGTCGTTGCATTGGAGTTTTTAGCGTACTTTTGTAATATTAACTTCTTCTCTTGTAAAAATAACATTTCCATTTTATGCAGTTCTTCACTAATTTCATCATTCGAGTCATAGTTCTCGCGCATCATTTGTATGCGGGAAAGATTCGCTTCTAAGCTTCTAAGTTTCTTAAAGTCTTTTGCTACTTCCGTTTTTGCAGTTTTTACGTTTTGTGGATCAGATGGTTGATTTAGTACAAGAGGCTTTTGAACTGGAGAAGGGGTGCGAGGTTCTGTTTTTACTATTAGTTTGGGGGTTTCTTCCCGATTTTTGTTCAATATTTCATCATCATCATTACTCTTTTCATTTGCTGCGACAACTTCACTCTTGAATTTCTTTTCTGGATTTTCCGGGGTTTTTGAAAAGTTTTCGCAGTCATTACTTTCATCGGATGAAGTTGCACTGGAAGTGGAGGATGATGAGGAGGATGTATTATCTTCAGAACTTGATGAACTTGAAGAAGAAGTAGAAGAGGTGGATGTGGAAGAGGTTGAAAGAAGTTCTTCACTACTCTTTGATGTCATTGGTTCTTCGTTCTGCTTATCTTGTTCGGATTTATTTTCGTCAATAGTCACATTTTTCATATCTACTCCAGAGGCTTCAACACTTTTAATAAACTGATTATATAGTTCTTGCATACCAAATAGTTGACTTTGTTGTGTTGGATTGGCTTTATTCTCGTTTGTGGCTGCAATTGATGATTGAGACACCGCATCCGCATTTAGCAGTTCTAATGGCGGTGTGGCCGGGTGGACTGAACTGCAAAGTTCTGTATCCATATCCTTTCCTATAGCACCTTCATTATTTGGTGGTGGAGAAGGATTAACAAATTTAGTTACAAATGAGTCTTCTTCCATCAAATCAGGAGACACACGTTTTGGAGTTGAACTTTCATCGGGCACATTCAAATCCAAATCTACGTCTTCTTCATTTTCCCAATTATCCATGTAGTCGTCAGTATCCGGGCTATTGCCCTTATCACTTGGAGACTTTGTGGGGGGCGAAGAGTATTCTTGCGAGTCGTCATTTAAATCTGAACCCGCCTCCTCGGTGGGAGAAAGAAATTCACTTCGTGAAAATGAAAGTGGCCTCATTCTTGTAGTTTTCTCTTCCACTTTCTTTGAGAGTTTTTGGGCTTCTTCTAACTTTTCTGCAGATTTTGTAGTGGGTGGAGGAGGTGTCAAAGATGCTACAGTAGAATCCGGATTTTTGTCTTTTTCCTTTCCTTTTGCTTTGCTGTCTATGTTTTTATCAAGCTTTCTACTTGGAGATTTTGGTTTGGTTGCCGATTTATTGTCGGGCGAACGATTATTTTCTTTATGCAATCTGTCTTTAGTATTGGAACTATTACTCCTGCTGTCTGATCTGTCATTTGATTTGGAACGATTTAACAAACTGGACCTGCCACTGCTGCTACTATGTCGCCGACTAGACGATAATTTTCCAGAATTATCATCTTTCTTCAGTTCAAAAGAACCCTTGTGTTTAGAAGAGTTATCGCGATCTCTTGAACGTGATCGGCGGTGTCTATCAGATTTACTAGTCGATCCACGATCGCGTGATGATGAACGCTTAAAAGGATTACGAGAATATTTTGAACGGGAATCATGACGATGATCATCCTTGCGTCTCAATTTATCTTTTGAATCATTCCTATCCCTATCTTTATGAGGATTGTCTCTATTAGACGATGATAGAGACCTTCCTTTGTCCTTACTGTTTTTGGCAGTTGCATCACCTTTATGCTCTGAAGTGTCTCGACGTCGGTCACTGTCATTGTGTTTTAATGACTTTTCCTTATTTATTGTAATTTTCTTTGATGTCTCGCTTTTATCCTGATATTTTGTATCGCCATCGTCTTTTTTCGACGAATTATCCACGCTGAGCTTGGTTTCCTGCTTCTCCACATCCTTTGATTTCTGTGTTACACTCGAATTTTGATGTTGCTTCTCTTTTGTACTTTGATATTTCTGAGTTTTGAGCATTAACTTCTCCTTGGCTGCTTCTATTGCCTCCAACTTGATGTCATCCTGCTGAAGTATTTTATCGATACGCTTTTGTATCTCCTTTGCATCGTGAAAAGATGTGGGAGATTTTTGTACTTTAGTCTGGCTTTTGATGGGCAACGGTGGAGTTACACTGCCGATTTCAGTAGCACATTGTGGCTTCACTGTATTTACTAATTCTTTTAAATCTCCTGCACTGTCACCCACCCCAACAGAAGCATCAACTGCGTCTTTCTTTGACAGCGAATGAGATGGCGGAGATTCAGCAAACATGTCATACGCTTTCTTTTCAGCTCCTGTCGGTTCATCAGTCTCTGGTGGTTCTTGCTTGATAATTAGAGGCTTCACTTTCAATGTGATATCTTCAATTTTTATTTCAGTAACAGCTTCTAATTTCTCCACTTTCATATTCTGTACTTTGTCGCGAATTTCCTGTTCGTTTGGTATGTACTCTTCTTTACTCTCTGTTTCCTTATTATCGGCAGAGTTTTCAGTATCTTCTGAAGATTTTCGAGACTTTACATACGATTTTCGTATTTTTTCTATTTTACGTCTACTGGATTTCTTTGACTTCTTCTTCTTTGAAGACTTTGCTGTCGCCGATATTATTTTAGATGGCGATTTTCTTTTTCGTTTTTTCTCTTCTTTAATTTTTTTCTTTTTGTTACTTTTATCTTTTGAAGAAGATTTATGTTTGTCCTTGCTCTTTTTTTGTTTTTCAGTGTCATGGCTATCGCCATCAGGGCGTTTATCTTCTTCATCCCAATTTTCTTCATCTGTTTGACCCGTTTCTTTGTTTAATTTAATTCCAAGGTTCAACTTGTCATTACTTCGGGATTCTTTGCTCAATTTAAATGCATACGAAATTGTAGGTTTACATTTTGTCCATCTGAAATAGCCAAACATGTGGTTTTAGAAATGCATTGCCATAATGAAATATTTTTTAACCACTAGCAATATCAATGTATGATGACAAATAAGAAATTTGCTTCGCAGGATTACTGATAATTTTGAGTGTCAATACTGACAACATAACGATTATTTAGGAACTCTTATTTAATACTTACATTAAGTTTGTTGAGGGCGGCAGTATTGGTGAATGACCCCGATTGGGTGGTGGAGTATGATGTTGTTGTCTATGCTGAGGACCATGATGGCGAGCCAAGGGACCAGAAATACCACCACCTCCACCACCAGCATTAAAAAATGGCGGTCGAAATCCCGGAAAGGGCATTCGTCCTCCACGTATTCCGCCTCTACCACGCGGAATAAATCCACCGCGACCATGTGGAAAGTCCATACGGGCTCCCCGCATGAAAGGATTTAGATTACGATAACCCATAAATGCCTCGGGCGGTAGATGAGATGGATGAGGGGGGTGTACGATATGTGGTGTAAAGCGGTTTGAGGGAGCGTTGGAGGCAGTAACGACAACCGACGAAACTTTTTCTACATACTTATCGCTGTCTTCATCACCTGACGAACACAATCCTTCACTTTCGTCAGTCTCGGCTAGTTTTGAGGTTTTAGGCTTCTTCGGCAGAGATTTGCAACCTTCACTGTCATCACTATCAGATTCCTTTGGATCTTTCTTTGTGGTTTTTTTGCCTAAAAATACAATGTTAGTATTTAATATTGTTATTTGTACAAGACGGTTAAACTTACTTTTCTTATGTTTTTTAGCGCTCTTACGTTCATCTTTAGATTTTTTACTCGTCTCCCCTTTATCCTCTTCTTTCTCTCGCTGTTTTTCGATCTGAAGCTTTTCCTCCCTTCGCCTTTTGGCATCTAATTCCAATATTAATCGAACCTTTTCTTCGCATGCCTCCGCTTCCATTTGTGACACAGTTTTCATTGCTTTGGCTAACGCTTCCCTTGCCAACTGTTTCGAAGGGGGTTCGGGTTTTGTTGTTCGCATGGGGGTAGAATCCTTTGTCGAGGCAGGACTAGAGCCTGGAGGTGGTGTCTTCACTTCGCCCGGTTCTAGACTGCTATCTCCGCCTTGCATATCGTCCAAGAATCCAAACGTTAACTTAGCTACGCCATCCTCGGAGACTTTGATGTCATTCTTTCCATTATTTGCCGAACTCGACCTTGTCGCTATAGACACCGCCTCCTCCACCTCCATATTTGTTCCCTCCATTACTCTGGCGCTTGACGAATCTATTATTTATGTAATAACTATAGTTTTTACTTTATTTCAGTTCACCGATGCTCTTTAATCATCGATTAGAATCCATCTTCACCACAATATTAATAGTTTGTAGATTTTATTTTGCACCACACACATCCACACATGAACAGCCAATGAAAAAATATGAAGAATGCAAGTTGATTTTATGAGTATGGTGTGTGTGCTTTTGTGCTATTATCAGCACGCGTCCGAGAAAATTATCTTTTAAACTTTCAATTCATCGTATTTGACAACCCTTTCACATAGCAGGATGATAGCTTCTAATATGATTCACTTGCACTATGTAATTTGGTTGCATTTTAACAAAAAAAGCCCTTTAAGTTACGAAAAATTCAATCCTCAGTTCCTTTTCTCTTCAAGTTCGGAGCTGGGTTATAGTGTTTGACTGCGACTTATTAGACCGGGTTATCATTTTGTTGCGAATACCAAAAAATGTTACTACTTTATTGTGAATTGCAGAAAACAACATGTAATATAAGGTATACTACGACGTATAACTAGATGGCGCCTTACCAAAAGCAGAAAGTGCATAATTCATGTTTGATAATTAAGAATTTACATTATGATTTCTCAACGTCCTTATCATATTTGGTTGAAATTTGTTCAGGAGACAGATTCAGTGATAAGTCTTTAAATGATTACAGTACTATAATAAAAATAGTTAAAAAATTGCAAATCTCTGCTATAGTTTAAAAATTATACCCGTTTCATTATTACTCCAAAGATATCTTAAAGCTTTCCAATTTATTACTGTGGAAAATGTGCGGATTATTCTCTTGTTGCTGATTAAGGCTAGTTTTTTACAATATTTTGATTTGAATTTCTTCAAAATCTAAATCGAAATCAAATTTTTCCATTTAACTAAGCCATGTTTTAATAATTACAGGATAAAAATAAAACTAAAACAAATTCAATTTAATGAATGTATCTTTATACATTTTAACATGTTTGACCTAGTAAATAACAAAAAGCTTTTCATTTAAATTCACGGACATCAGCAACCGAGTCTATTTATATTCTTAACGATAAACATTTCTCACATCTATGCCAAGTGACATAATCATTTTCAATATAACCCTTTCTTCAAGGTTGAGTTTCTGGACATTTTCCCATGCTTTATGTAATTGACTTTTAATTTAAGCCATGATTGCAAATTGAATGCGTTGGCGTTGGTTTAATATTTTTATTTGATGAATCTGAGAAATTTGTGTGGCTTAATGATCTTTTTTAATGAAGTTCATTAACTTTATTTTGGGTATGTTTTTTGTTGCCACTGCTATCCCATCACTGACTTCCACCACTATCTTTACTAATTTTGTTGTTTTTATTGTTTATTGTGCAACATAAATCTCTTCCTTATGGATGGATTTTGAGTTTTTTTTTAGTATTCATTTTCTCTGGCTTTTCTTGGTCTCACATTACGTAGTAGTTCGCTAAGGCTAATGTGTAGCTCATTTGTTTCGTAAATATAAGTACCTACCGGTAGACATTATCTTTGGAATAATCGTCCAGAAAACGCAATGTTAGATTACGTTATTATATAGAGATGTCGGAGAGATGTTTATTTATAAAAGTAGGGTTTTTATCACCTTTCAATTCGAGTTTGTTTACATACAAAAGCTGCAATAGAACACTTTTTGTGGCATTATTCTATGGGCAAGCTATTTTTTATCCGGCTTGAAATTTCAAGTCCAACGGAGTTATAAGAAATATATAAAGAAATATATGCGTTGAGTTGGTCAACCCTAACGAAATGTTTTTTCGTGAGCATGAATATGACCATTCCTTCGTCCGCCGATGTCTATGTTATTATGCATAAATTTGTAATAATAACGTTGTTATTACAAGACATGTCAAAGGGCTACTTTGACATGACAGCGGACGCTGTTAAATAGCGTCATCATTGCATACAAACCTGTTTATCTTTTGATATTTTCGCATTGGCCTTAATGACATAATTAATCTATGATAAATAAAATATAAATTGAAGAGCAAATTTCACTAGCAGTGATTGTGTAGTGTTTTCTCCCCTTTTGTCATAGATTCAACATCATATATTACCGTTACAGAACCGTGGACCTCAAGTGTGTAATTACTTGAACTAAAAAATGTGTAAATTTGGCAAGTGTTTGTGGGTGGAGAGTTGGAGTAATATAATTGCAATAACTGCGATTGTCCCACCGATTTACCAACGGCGGGTGATATAAGAAATCAAGGACCTGTTCCAGCAGTCTTCTGACGATCCTATTACAAACTCTAAGTACCGAATTTCTAACAATGCCCTGAAAAATGTGACGAACATCATCAGAATACCGAACACGGTGAGATAGCAAAGCATGGGGTCTATAGGAAAAGGTAGAACCCATTTTGAACGCTTAAACAATTATGTTAGAAAATGTGTCCAAAATCGGATATCGAGAAGTACTGTTGCATGGGGCTAGAATTAAGGGCTGGGCAGAAGCCTAATATTTTGTTTGGTCGTCGGACAATAGCGGTTAAAATATACCATAACTTTTATGTAAAAATATGAACATTTCCACTAAACCGCGAATAATTTTAATACCAGCGAAATCACAAATATATTTTACTTCTATCAGTGGCACTGTTAGCCAAGATATCGGCGGTCTATCTCTCTGTCTGTTGTAAGCAAGCTATCTTTCGAACGAATTGAGATTGAATGCTAAAATGTTGCACATATGTTTATTTTGTCAGTAGGCAGGTTAAGTTCGTAAATGGGCCATGTAGGGTCATACAGCCCCCATATGATGGTACCTCCCGATATTCGGTATTTTGATGATTTTAGCGACATTATTCACCGGAATTGTTTCAAATTTGGTATTTGAAGTTCGTAATGGGAACTACAGTCTGTGACTAAAAATTGTCTATGCACTTCCAGGTCTTCGTATAGGCCCCATATATCAGTTCCTCCCTCTATTCGGTATTTTGACGATTTTAGGTATAATATTCACCGAAATAGTATGAGTTGTCGTATTTGAAGTTCGTAATGGATGTTACAGCCTATGACAGGAAATTGTCTATGCAGGTCAAGGTCTTCCTCCCTATATACGGTATTATGATATTCACCCTTTATTTCAAGTTTCGAATTTGAATATGGTAATGGCCTATGTCAAACAATGTCTGTGTAAGTCCACGTCGTATAGATTTTTCAACGGATTTTATTTTTTGAAAATTTCCAAATTCGTTCCAAATGGTGGAGGGTATTCAAAGTTCGGCCCGGACGAACTTACTGCTTTTTAACTTCTTGTATGTGAAATTGTTTTGAATACCAATCAGCATGACAGAGAGGGGAAAATATAAGACAAATGCCCTGGTAAAAAGTCAACGCTAACATTTGTGCAGGACTGTATAACGTTATTTCAAAAAAAAAAATTGACAAATGGGTTTGGACCTAATGTGATTTTCCCATATATTGTAGTATTGTAGGGCATCACAGGGGTCGGTCTAGCATGACTAAAGTCTTTGCTTACTTGTTTAATAATATTTGAATTCATTCGGAGGATTCGGGAGGATTTAGCATTCGAAACTGTGGAAATAACAACACAAATTCTTTTTTTTGCGTATAAAAATAGAATCGAATGACGTTCCAATATGATAAAGTACTCAAACAAATACTCATTATTGGGACTTTTGTTTCATGAGATTAAGATAGAGATATGAGAAAAGATGTGCATCAATGAATGTGCAAATTATTATTGCTTTTTTTCGCAGCAATACAATTCAATAGACAGGTACATGTGATTTATATACTGGCACGACACACATGCATTCCCTAGCCCCTCGTAAGACGTAATTGTTTGTAGCATCACTTGAATTGTCATCTCCTAATACCACAGAGTGCCATCAGTACCAGTTTGAACATGGCACAAAATAACTAAATTTACTCGTATTTGTAATAAGAAAAAATAAATGAAAACAAAACAAAAACATGACCGATCGATTTATGGGATTTGCAATGGAAATTGGAAAGTACATTGGAGAAATGTAGGCGCCCAACATGTAATCTTAAGCCTTGAAAATTCAAGGGAAATTCATGGGGATCCCAAAAGTATTTGTCTAGTTTTTGGCTACGTTTCATAAACTATATATACATTTCCCATCATTTATTTTACCGGCAAACACGACAAAATGTTTTTGACTCTCCAAACTACTTGATTTTATCAGAGACTACCGAACACGTAGATTGATGTAAATTTTGTCGCATCATTGCGCCACATGTAATGAGCAACTGGGATCTTAAATGGATGGGAACAGTTTTGTGTAATATTGGATCATGCAACCGGCCCAGGGAATATGACAGCAACGCAAATAGGCAGATGCTAAATTTTTAAGTAAATAATTTCATCAACAAATCTCATATCATATCAAGATGCTTCAAAATTTTAGCAATGAAGTGCAAAAAATGTGATTTTGTGATTTTGATGGGATGAGACGAACTGCAACGACGAGGTGGTTTGAATGCCACACGCCAACCAACCATAGACCACCAACAAGAGGAAAAGGTAACAATTTGTGAAGGTTATTTCAATTTAAACTCAAGGGAATCTAAGACTATCCGTGATATTTTGGACTCTGTTTATTTGGCTACATCCCGAATGTTAATGACAAGTCAACATGCCACAATATGCGAGCTCACAATGTTCGTGATGTACTTGCTTACTTCCCTTTCGAAAGAGTTGTTAGAGTCGCATGTGTGTCGATTGCCAAGTTAAGAAAAGTTGCCTATCTGTGATGGATGGTTGGATGGTTTGAGATACAAATTATGAATCCAACGAATATACCAACACCAACTTAACTATGTGCAATTACATTCGAGGTACGGAACTGATATGTACCGCACAAAAACAAGAGAGCCTTGATGTTGCTGCCTCATATCCACCCATGCCGTAGATAGACACGCAATTTAATTTAGGAATCATAGTCTTCGAAAACAAAGCGGGAATGTTTTGAATTACACATATACTCTACCATTTGCATCTACAAACTTCGCAATGTTAGTCAATATTAAGCAGCGAACAATTTTTAAAAATTATTTTCGAATAGAAAAATTATATTTTTTGACAATCAATGTGCAAGATTTATTTCCCGCGTTTCCGCATTTTTATACCCTACACCACAAGGTGGCCAGGGTGTTATGTGTTTGTGCATTTGTTTGTAACAGGCAAAGGGAACGAGATAGACTTATAGTTCCTTTTAATGATCTACATAGAATCACATTCTGAGTCCATTTATGCATGTCCATCGCTCCGTCTGTCAATGTATTTTTGTATTTTGTACAAAGTACAGGTCAAATTTATTGCCCGATCCCGATGAAATTTTGGACAGGTCATTTGTTTGGCATATTGAAATTGGTGAGAATCGGTTCAAATT